CCTGCCCTGCCCAGGCGCCGAGCACTGCCGGGCACGAGCCGAACGGTCGGGTCCCCAGGGCCTCAGGAAGCTTACCCCACAGATCTCCAAGTTGGTTTATGTATAATTAAATAGGGGTTTACAAAGGATTCCAAGGCCAACTGTTGGTTTACAAAGGATATATATATATATATCAATATCCCATCAGCTTACTGGTGCTTAGTAGGGAATGGATGGGAATGGGGGAATGGGATTATTACTAATAGTTATTGTGGATCATTCCCTCATTCCCTACCAAGCACCAGTAAGTCAATATCCCAAAAAATATCAAACTGGTTATATATATAGATGGGGTTATCAACCAACTTCTAACTAGGACTAACTAGGGGGCGCACCTCGAGGCTATGGCTACAAAGGATTGGAGGCTCTGAACTCAGAATGCTCGGCAAATGTCGCAGCCATACGGCCAGTTCCTTGAAATGTAGAGGTTTCCTCAGTCATGGGGCATGGGGGTACCCCCAAATCATTGAAGTCATTAGATCATGTTAATATTGAAACCAATGGTGACTTGGGGATTTCTCATTTTAAGCAACAGCTATATGTTGAACTCGATGTTGGAACCCAACATTAACCCAACATTACATTTGAAATCACCACTTCATAGTGGTTCAAAGCTCTTTTCTTTGTACGCCGATGCCCACGCATTTTTTGGAGGGTTCAGCTCGACCCAGCTCCCGGCCAGGTGTCGAGGCCAGCCATGGGTGGATGTACTCATGCATCATATAGATTTATAATGATTTATATGGTAATGTTGTGATGTCGTGTTATTTCTATATTGATCTATAAATAAAAGATAGATCTCCTGAGTCAGCTTGCCTTAGCTTTCCTTCAGCGAACCCTGACAGGCGCGGTGATAGCCGTGACAGCCGCGATAGTCGCGGACCCGACATCCCTGGTGGCTATGGCTATGGCCACGGCCACGGCTACGGCTACGGCTACGGCCGGGCGGACTCGGACCGGGACAGCCAAGATAGTCGGGACAGCGCTGATGGAGGCGCTGATAGTGGGCACACTTTTCGGCGCTAGCGGATTGATAAACCACCAGTTTACCAAAAGGTGTGCCAATTTGAGCAATTTGTGACTTATTACAGTAATTGTGGAGTAGGCCTCCCAGTTGACAGTCAGGGTTTGTCAATCCGCAGTTGTCATTAGAAGATGAAACACTGATTTTTGCAGAATGATAGCCCCATTTGCACCGGGTACATCACTACGGATGATGAACGCATTTGTTGTAATCCGTTCCCTCCAAACAATGCCCCACAAGAACCTATTGTTCAATACTACATTCTTAAGTCTGGGTTGCCAGCGGGTTTTTCTTTTGGGGGTTCGGATTTATTGCGAAGCCATGGTCAGGTGACAGCCGTGACAGCCGGGACAGCCGCGACAGCCGCGACAGTCGGGCACGGTCGAGGCCCGGGGGGCTATTTGGGGTTCATGATTGGAGTCTTGTCCACTGCCGCATAAATGTTACTTTGACCTGGCTTGGACCCAAAACCATGCACAAACTACCATCTGGCAAACTAACATAACTAATTATGGAAAATCACCATGTGTAATGGGTAAATCCACTATAAATGGCCATTTTCAATAGCTTTTTGTATGTTTTCGGAGGGTAGTGTCACCTGAGATGAGCTGCTCACCGTCTTTGCGACTATTTCCTTAGATTCAGGGGTCATCCCCGCCGCAAATACTCCAGGCGCCGCCGAGTGACCTTGGATGGAAAGACCGGCGCACGCCAAGCAGGTGCTGGGATGATCCCTCTGCTAACATGGCTGGGGGATCCCCTATGGGCATACAATATACTACAGCCCCAGTGATACCAACCATGAAGATCGGGAATCCGCCGCGGGCCGTTTGCCTGGCAGACCGCAGCCAAGGGTTCCTGGCGAGAGACCTGGGACACCACCAGTGATAAGATATGACATATGAGATATGATATTAGTATTTATAGCATTAAACTATACAATCTACTTGGATTTGCTGAAGATGTTTTTTATTTTTTCCATGGGAAATCCACTACTTGGGGAATCTATAGGGAATATATACATATATATATATATACAGACATATATTTGCTGGTTCGTTATGCAAATCCATGTGTATATATAGAAACCGTTCAAATGGTTGCCCCATGTTGCTCTCTATGTTAAGCAAGCAACATGAGATGACTGACCACATCTACAGGGCGGGCAGCGCAGCCCCCCTCCAGAGCCAGAGGTCCGGCGGAATTCTGGCCAGGGTCTTTACTCACAGAGGTAGGTTTTTGCAACATTATCTTGCTCAAGGATTCTACGGGGGCAATTTTATCAATGTTCCACTGAGTTTGGGAGCTGATTGAGCCGCATCAGCTGCTTTTTGATTTTGGGTGCATGTTTCAACTCTTCAACTATCAGTTCTTGTTAAAGTAGTTAGTTCATCACCGTTATTTGCTGCCATCATTCTGGTTCACCCAGCTCTTTCACATTGGATCATTGGGACTTCAGCCTCCGGCTGAAGCTTTGATGATTTTACCGCATCCTGTGACTGGAAAGGGCCGCTCCTACAGTTCCAGCTATTAATTTGGAAGGCACCAACTGAAATCCAGCATGGAACATCGTGGCACACCGGCCCCACGGCCCCACGGCCCCAAACGGCCAGGCTTGAAACGCCGCGTGCGGCGAAAAGTTCCGCGTACACGGCGCAGGAGACGAGTGGAAGGACAGGTGACAACATGTGGGAGGGACATACCGCGGAAGTGGTGAGGAATCCTGGTTGGTAAGTCCCCTAAATGGGTTATCCGCTATTTATAAGTGGCTTATAGTTCTTAAATGTTATTGTAAAACTATAACCATGGTTGGAAAGGGCTGCGGAATTCCGAAAACTGGGTTCCCTTGAACCCACAGGTAATTTGCATCCTCACTAATCAATGGCGGGTATGCCGGGGGCAGGATCCATATCCTGCAAAGCGGAGTTTGGCCAAACAGTGGTGACCAGTGGTGATATTGAGCTCTTCGTACTAAAATATCTCTCCACATCAGGACTGGTGTAGACACTATGTAGACTAGCTCGTTAATATGTTAGTGAGTTGTATAATAAGCAGAATTACAGTGAATCATAGTGAATCATCATGGTAAAAGCCCAAACTCATCCGCATGGTGGGATGACCCCCCCCTTCACCGGACACCAGGATCGACACGCATTCCCCAAATGGGATGGTGCGATGGCTAGTCATTCCGTGTCGCAATCTCCACTCCCTACCATCCTGGCACTTTGCCTTAGTAACCATGAATATCCATTAATTATTAAGCATGATTGACCATTATTGACCATTAGTGACCATTAGTGACCATTATTGACCATTATTTACCATTAACCTTTGTTGATTGACAATTGTTGACCATTCTTGGCGACGATTAACTATTAATTGTAACGTTATCAACTTGCTGGTGATAGTTGGATTTGCGCTCCCTGTTCGAATTGCTCCAAGTCAGCAATTCGATTGCCATGGCTGCTAACGTTTGGGCCCCAAACCCCCAAAACCTTCCTGGTTGTGACCCAGAAATCCATGCTTTCAATTGTTCAAAACCGACAACTGACACACAATACACAGTATATAAATATAAAACTGTATGTATATATTACACACACACATATATATATATAAGAGATGGATACTGCAAATGCCAACTTTATAGAGATGTAAACATAAGCTACAATGGATACTGCAAATGCCTCATGTATAAAGATATAAACATAACCATACATAGCATCATATCATGTGGCACGGGGGCTTTCACTCCGTGGTACCTGGGTATCCAGGAGTTGCAGCCGAGAGTGGGACCCTGAGATAACGCCAGGGTGGCTGGAACCGAACGAGAGAATCCACCAATATAGATTGATGATTTATCCAAAGCATTTAACGATAAATTTAAGAGGATGGTTTGTTGACTTGCTTTACTAAAATTATTTGGGCTCAAAACTTTGGTATTCAGAAGGGGGAAGAGATGTTGATGTTACATTGTTTATCCTGCATCATCCTGCAAATTACCCAAAAACACACACACATTCAACAACCGTGGCTGAGTGGAGAACGATCCAGTGAGGAGTTGTTCGATTGAAACAGGGCATAAAAAACCACTTCCATTGTTAACAACTGGACTATATGGCTATGGATCAATACCTATACATACCATTTCTAGGGGGTTATTCACATCCATTTTAACCCAGCTATTTTGATGTGAACTACAGGGGTACTATTGGTTTTGACACACTGCCATATCCCACGGTCCTTTTTTGAAATTGCCAAACTTCCCAGAATTGCTTGGGACAATTTGCAGGTTTCAACTTGTTTCAACCGTAGATTTTCCCTTCAAGACCAGCCCAGGTCGCACCACTGAGACGCCGAGAGCCGCGGGAAATCACAGGTGGCTGCTTCCGGAATCGAAGGGACAAAGGAATCCGCCATATTTGATGGATTTTGATGGTAAGAAACAGGTAAAGACCATGGTATCCTGTATATACACTGTAGATTTTCCCTTGAATCCATCCATTGACTAGTCCATTTGATGCTTCATTCTAGTGCCACTCTCACCATCTCTCAACTACAATTGCATCCCAACGCAAGGGAAGATGCTCAGAAGGAAACGACTCAAGCAGTTGGGTTCCCTAGATACGGTCGAACAGTTTTGAGGAACTCATGAAAATCGAGAGAGAGAGAGAGAGAGATACCTAGAAAACCGTAAAGACAATTTGTTTCATCCATCATGGGTTATTTTACTCGGCCCGCAATTGATGTTTTTTGTTGAAATGCGTTCTTGAGTATTCGATTGTGCCGGGTTGTAGTCATACCGGGGTTCCGACATCCGACAGTGTCACTTCAGCCCAAAATGGAGCAGATTGGGAGTCAGGGGTACCCGAATCTTGGCTCAAGCATACAGCATCAATCCACTGCAGAGACAATCCCGGGAAGTTTCTTCAAAAAGATGAAGACGGTGAAGACGGAACAGAGCTTGTCCTCCGCCATGAAAGCCGAGATCCCCGGGCGCCTGAGCGCCTTGAAGACCAAATCCATGAAGCTGCTGATGGCCACCAAGGCTCGTGCGGTGGATTTCTTGGAGCTGGCGGCCGTGAAGGTCCAAAGCCTGAAGGTGGAAACGGTGCAATCCGTGACTGCACTGAAGGCCAAGGTGTTGGATACCGCTCAGGAGATGAAGAAGGGGACGGTTTCCCGAGCACAAATGCTCCTGGCTTCTGCAAAGTCATTGAAATCTACCACAGCAAAGAAGTTGACAGATGCAAAGGCAGCAGCTGGCGCCAGCTATGCCAAGTTGCGCAAGGATGGTGTGCGCACTTGGTCTCGTGACAACGTGCAGCTTGCCCGGGAGTATGTGGCCTTTAGCATTGCCAGCGTTGACAGTGCAGCCAGGAGCAGCTATCGCAATGCCCGGGCGACCAGTCTGGCATTCATTGCATCCACCAGAAAAAGCATCAAGGACCGCATCCAGGAAATCGTGGACGGTGCCAAGGCGCGTGTGGCCGCCGGCCGCGCCAAGGCTCTGCAAACCGTGGACAGTGCCAAGGCGCGTGTGGCCGCCGGCCGCGCCAAGGCTCTGCAAACCGTAGACAGTGCCAAGGCCAAGGCCTCCGAGGCCCGGGACAAGGCACACGCTTTTGCCAAGAATGACCATGTGCGCGCGACTGCTGTAGGCGTTGCTGGTGGTGCGACCACCCTGGGCACTACAGGTGCTGCCACCGGCTTGTGCGCTGGCACTGTGGTCGGAGCTGCTGTGGGCGTGGTGCCAGCACTCTTTACCTTTGGCCTTTCCATTCCAGTCGGTGCTGCCCTGGGAGGTGGCGCTGGTCTCTTCATGGGCACTGCTGTGGGCGCCACTGCTGGTGCTTTGAGCGGTGGTGCAGCTGGCTATGGCGCCTATGCCAAGCGCGGAGAGATTCAGGAACTCCGCACCAAGACCGTGTCACGTATCTCTTCCGGCGTTGACATCGTGAAGGGAAAGGCGGCCGCCTCTGCGGACTACATCAAGGACAGGGCATCAGCAGCTCGCGCCCGTGTGGTTGGCAAGAGTGCGGCCTAGAGCAGTGCGAATGAGAAGAAGCTAATGCAGTGAATGCAGTGGTTTCCAGTTTTCAAATGTACAGAAGCCTCACCACAGCCCGCTGCGGTGATGTGAGAAGTATTTCGCAAGTGGCAATCGGCATGGGTCGGGGCATGCTGAAACTGAGACGGCTTGGGCCTCTCAATGTCAGCTGCTTTCTGCCATGAGCATTCTCCTTGGCAAGAGGCTGGAGGGAGAAAGCTCTCAAATTCATTTTTTGCTTCGCTGTGATGCAGCTTCGAGGTGAATTGATTACAGTTGGGCAGGAAGCTGTCCAGGCCGGAACAGTTAGGTGATGTTAGGTGCAGTGAGGAGAAAAACAAGATGGTCCCAAATCTATTATCATCACTTGTGTTGGGTTGTAATGCAATTTTTCCCTTGGAACCAGCTCCAAGACCCCCAAGATCCACCTTTGCCACCGCCACCGCCCAAGGTGGAGGTGTTGCAAACGCCGCAAGCGCTGCAACTTGAGCCAGCGCAACCGGTGGCGATGCCGCCGGAGACGCAAGGAGCTTCCTTCGGTTTTGGGTCGGACAATCAGGGGGAAACCTTAGAAAATCATGGAAAATCCAGGGAAAAGTGGTCCCCCTACAAGTGACGCTTCATGGCAAAGGCATCGCAATTTGATGAATCAATACCCGGGTGGACAAATTATGCACAACATTCATGTTTTGCTTGATTTGATTGCTGAAAATCCTGGCACAGCGGGAGGCCTCATTTTGGTTCTGGATTCTCTTCTGGATGATGCCAGCTTGGCCAGACGATCCTGGAAGTTGGGGGTAGAAACCCATGAAATATCCTAGATATTCCAGGTTTGTGTACGGAGTTATGTGTAATACACCAACGGCTCACCATTTTTATGAAGATTTATTGAGTTCAAGTTTAAGGATCAATAATCCATGTGAATCATGACTCATACTTGTATACCCCATTACCATCCACTACCACAAACAATGTGTTCCCTATTTCTTCCCACAAAATCCTTGGAGTTCGGAAAACCAATCCATGTTTTCATCCTCAAAATCCTTGTGACAAAATCATTTCTCCCAATTGGTACACAATCTTTTTGGGGTAATCCGCTGAGATCAAATCTTTCATTTTCTAGGGGTTGCGGTACATGTCCCAGATTGTACTAGTAGATTAAGAGGATTAAGAGAGGGAAACCAATCCCTTGAAACAAAAACAATGGGACTATCCTCCAAACAAAGATGGCAATGGATGGCAATGGACAATCCTGCTCTGATAGATGATTTCTCCATGTTTTCCCATTCAAATCATGAAACATCTCCATGTTCATAGATGCCTTCCCGATATTTTCCTAGTATAAAAAATCGCAAACCATACAGTAACTACATGTAACTACTTATATAGATGATTTTCGAATTAACCAATGGGAAAGTAGTCCCCAAGACAAAGCCACCTAGTAAACCTCCGTGTTTCTTTTAAATGAATAAATAAATAAAACCATAAATATAGCAATAATTATAATATATAATAAAAATAACAATCGATTTTCCAAGGCCAGCTCCCTGCGGAGCTTGGCGGTGGGCTCCGTGATGCTCTTCTGCCTCGACGCCGCCGCGTCGGGCCCCGCGGTGGCCCGGGCCGTGGCCACCCACCTGGCCACCAGGGCTGTGGCGTGCGCCGGGCCGCTGGGAAACATGGAAGCTCGGTGGGAGCGGCGCAAGGGGGAGACTTAGCCCAGAATTTATGGATATTACCCTCTAGTAAACTAACATAACTATGGAAAATCACAATTTTCAATGGGTAAATCCACTATATAAATCACCATTTTCAATAGCTATGTTAAATTACCAGAGGGTATTTGAAAGTTGGATGATATTGGTGCATATTGATTTGATCTTGGATGTTCATGGATATTCTTGGGAGATGTTGGAGAGTTCATGGCAAGTCTTATGGCAAGTTGCAATGATGTCAAATTATTAGTAGTTATGCATTAGAAAGTGAAAACGCAACCACCCCAAAAATTTGGCAAATTTGTTAAACTTATTTTCCAGATCCATTTTGGGGTTCTATGGTAATGTTCCGCGTGGCCAAGATGGGGCTGCGAACGTGTTGTGACTATGTCTTGGAATGCTCCTGGTTGATCTGCAACGTTGGTAGATGTAGGAATTCAGGGCTGCATGCTTGAATCAGCTGTCGAGAATCTATAATCTCGGCGCGCTGGAAGGGACAACCTACACGATCAACCTTGTCTTCTAGATTGTTACCCTCTGGTAATTTAACATAGCTATGCAAAAGCACCATTTTTCATAGATAAATCAACTATAAATGGTCATTTTCAATAGTTAATTAAATTACCAGAGTGTAGATTCGCCCTTTCCAGAGCAAAGGGTCAGCCCTTCGATTGCTGCCAAGGACTTTGCTTGTCTCTATTGCATCCTGCCGGCCGTTGTGGATTTGCAGGGATGGGCTTTTCAAAGTAGCTTGACACAGCTGACCGGCGACACAGCTGAGGTATCTCAGATATTCTGCATAATGCTGGCGCAAATCGATGTCCAGGTGCAAACACCTATCGCTCAGTCTTTGAGGTGCCCATCGATGTTTGGGCCACGGGCCACGGGACCGGAAAAACGCAAAGGGTGGCTGGGTTTCGCTGAGGGAATTGCGGCCGGTTTCGATGAGGATGGGTTTTGACTCATATTCAGGGGAATAAACATGAATAAACTGAATAAACCTCCATTAACCAGCTCTATTACGATACCAGGGTTTTGACTCATAGCCACATCAGCAAGATGGTCCACAGCTGCGCTTGAAATTCTGAGTCAAATAGGTCCATGCCGTCATTGCTGCTGACTCGCTCATGTGTAGTGTAGTCTTGAGAGAACGAACATACTGGATAGAGCGAATCTATAAATTAAGATTATATGGAGACATATGCGACAACATACATATAATTATTCAATCATATGCATAGATGGCGATGGAGAGCGATAGATAGATAGATAGATAGATAGATAGATAGATAGATAGATAGATAGATAGATAGATAGATAGATAGATAGATAGATAGATAGATAGATAGATATATGCATATAGCATATTATGCACGTGCCGATGCATGAATGATCATGTTAATGTATTTATCTGAACACTTTGAACACGTCATATCTTTCTCTGCGCACGTTTTTTTTTTTTAAATCTGCGAGGAGCTTCTTCCCGGCATCTTTCACCGAGTCTATGTGGGTCTTCAGGCGGGTTCCGCTGAGGCGGAGATGCGTGTGAAGCATCTTCTGAAGGACATTCGGCTGAAAAACTGCTGAAGGAGATGGGTCCAGGTTTGGTATGTTTTCGTGATACTCGTAGTTCTTATCTATACTCTAGTTGTATTAGTTGAATTTCTTCTTATATATATATATATTCGAATTTGAAAATGAACATCATGATCATGATGATGATGATGATGATGGTGATGTCCAAGACGGCAGGATAATCACCGAGAATTGGAGGTTGGACCCCCCAGAAATATGGGATATACAGTACCGCGAAATAGTTCGCTTAGCTGTGCCTTGCACCCGTATGTCATGTCTATGACCATCTGTGTTTGGTAGGAACTGGAGAGGTCACTACAACTCCCCATTGCGGACTGTGATGAGGATATCCCCCGATTTTGCCTAGTAGGGTCACCGCCCGTGACCTGCCAAACTTCGATGTTCCAATTTCTGTCCGCCCAGGTTTGGCGCGCTTCGGACTTCTATCCCACTTTGTATCTGGATGGTGCCTAGTCCATTTTCGGACGCTCCAAGATGCTCCAAGGACACCCGTCGCGGCCGGCCGGCCATGGATGCCATGGGGGCTTGGGGCGGTCGCCTGTCGCGGCCCAGGTTTAGAGGCGGCGGCCTTTGGTGGGGCCCTGGCTTTGGAGGCGAAGGAACAGGCGATGTCCAAAGAGATTCGCTTGAAGCTGGGCGCTTGGGGCGGCTTGGGGGCTGGGCTTAGGGTGGTGACCTTTGAACATGGGGATATGCTCATGGGGGGTTGTAGCATTTTGATGGGGAGGTTTTTGTGGGATGCGTAACCAAAGGATCTTCGAGTGTGTCTGAAAATGGGGGATTTTTACCATCCAATTTATGGCAATTCCAATGGGGACAACTAATTAATTATAGTGAATTGGGGACGCCCCATTTTCAGACCAACTCATTTGGATCCATTTCAGGTGTCAAAGGGTGCAGGCAAATTGGACTGATTGAGCGCAAAAAAAACCTGGAAGCTCAGCAGAACGCACCAGATCTTTGCACCTTTCGACTTTCTTTCCTTCAACGCGTCGATCCCAGGAAACTGAATGTCTACAGCTCTTTGGACCTCATCGCACTGGAGCGGCGCTGTCGCAACCGCGGCCTCTTTGGTTCAGGGAGCAGCTCCAAGTCGCTGCTGCTGCGGCGGCTGCGGATCTTTGAAGAATACTGGGCCCAGCGCAGCAAGGACGACGTCCGTGACACGCCGCAGGTGCCGGAGCCGGTAGCGCCGAAGCCGGTGGCGCCGGAGCCGGTGGCGGAGCCGCTGGCGGTGCCGTTGGAGGCTGGAGATGACCTGGATGGAGTGCCATTGGAAGTGGAGAGGAGTGCGGTTTGAATGGTTGAGATGTAGGGGGCCAATGGAGGAGAAATTGGGAGAATGATGGGGGATGCTTTCAAGGATGATCACATGTGGACATTTCTGAGAACACATACGGCCCTTCGGTTGGCGTACTCCCACAAACAAATCTGGCACGCAGGGTCACAGGGGCCAAAACACCTCCTGCCTATCATGTTGACATCACGGCGATCGGTTCGGCTCAACATGTTGAAAACGATGAAATAATTGCCTTTCTAAGCCATTGATGGGGTTTTTAAAGGCCCATGCAATCTGGATTATATAAATGCACAAGGTGGTAATGACACTTGAAGAGTGTGATCCTCCCCAGCTGCGAATGCAACCCACCTCCTTCAGATCACCATGACCATAATGATGATAAGGTGTTGTGCGAAATGCCAGCATTGAGTACAAGCAACAACAACAACAACAACAACAACAACAACAACCACCCAATGCACACACACATATATAATATACATTCTAACAATCAAATGGTAAGCATCGTCACCATCATCAGACTTTTTGTTGCAATAACAATGATAGACAGCATGATGATGGTCATAATTTTCGTCATCATTTTAGTAGAAATAGGCCTACATATTTGTTTTAAAACATGTAGTGCCAAAAAGGCACACACACACACATAAGTTTATATATATATATATGTGTGTGTGCATATACATACATATGCATACATATGTACTGCAACAAGTTGTAACCTATCTGATTCTTAAAACAACACACATTTCCATTCCCCCAGGAGCTCCAAAAGCTCCAGACGTCGCATCACCGCACCCAGCAGATGGTCCTCACTGGAGATGGCGGAGTCATCCCACTTGGTAGGTGCGCTGGGACCAGGGTTTATCCGTGCCATGTTTACCACGACATCTTATTAGTGTTATAATATGTTATAATATACAGTAACTGGTGATGAGAATGGTATATAATAACAACTGATATGTTATAAGATCGTTGCAAAATTATGATAGATTATGTATGATTATGTGTTATTCTTATTAACTCATGACTTATGTTGATCCACTTTGTCATCTCTTGCAACTGGGGTTAAAATCCTGCGCTAAGTTTTATCAACCCATAGCCCGGGGGCAACGCGTTGGATAGTCTCGACCGATTGGACGACACAATCATGTCTTAACTGGTATGGTGTTCAGCACGAAAGGCGAGAAACTGCTTGAATCTGAACATATTTCGGACTAATTAGGTGTAAACAGTGTCAACCAAGAAAACATGAACCACAAAAGCTGAGATGTCGCCAACCAAAAATGATTTCATTCAAAGAAATATGGGCTTTCGCGGCTCAAAAGCACGATTTCCCCAGCAAAAACTTGGTGATTCAACTGTATGGCCTGGCCACAGCTGGTCTGTTGGCCTGGCTTGAAGAGAAACCCACCTGGGCTGTTGGGTGGCTTGGGGTTAAGACAAATAATTACAGTTACCAGGATCGATCAGGTTTCATGTTGCCATTCTAGTATCATTTAGTATCCTTGAAGGCCTTGTGGGAACGTTTGCAGCAAATCACAGATAAGATAGATGTATATATATATATAATTCACGTTAGTGAGCCCCCAATCATGGCTTTGGAAGATATTTTTTTATCGATACTCGATACCCTCTGGTAATTTAGTAATGGAAGCCATGGCCCATCAAAATAGATATACCATGATATACCTATTCAATCCCATTAAACACGGTGATTTTCCATAGCTACCTGCGTTTATAGGGTAAACTGAGGTATCTAACATCCGAAACCGCCAGGTGTAGAGGAGGATCTCGATGGCGAGCCGATCGGTACCATGTCCAAACAGGCATACCATGGGTTTTCCCAGTTTTTTTTGCCCTAAAAAATCCATTGAAATTGGAACAATGATAATACTGTAACTCCCATGGAGTTTGTTGCCCCAAAAAATCGGAGAAACGGAACCCATGTTTTTTGGAGTTTTCCAGCTGCCTTGGTGGGTTTTCAACATTTCTCAACACCTGGTGGTACGCTGAGGTGTGTTGGAACTTCAACAATGGCGTGCAGCCAAAGCCGCTGCCAGCTTTCCAGCGCCGGTTGGGTGGGAGACCACAGGTGAGCTGCAGGGATTTCCGACGGGAAGTGTGTTGGAAATCAAAAAAAAGTGCGTCCTGACCAGTGAATACTCAAATCTTCAGCCGGACGTGCAGTGGTAACGCCACTTCCTTGTAGACGCAAAGAGTGACGGTGGGAGCCCAAATTTTATGGCAAAAACAGCTGGTCACACTTATACACAACGTCCGCTAAAAGGGTATCGCACTAAGCCCGCTGTCCAGTCCACAAGATAACAAAAGCTATTCATATTGCATCATATTACTATGCTTGTGAAGGTATATGTATATCACACACATGAACCTGTGTATATATATATATGAATATGATTGAATATGAAAAGATGCATACACAGAGGTCATCATGATGTCATCATGCAATTACTACCCGGGATGCAGATCATACCGCCCAGCAGGTACTCCGTTGCCCTTGATGCCAGCGATTCCGATGCCGCCCGCGCCTGCTGAAATCGTGGCTCGGTAGATGGGCGATTTGGGTCGTTTTTTTGTTTTAAACATGTGCCCTCCAAACCCCGGGTTCGCCCACACTCAAACAACACATCCAAACAATATGATATACTTATCACCAGAGGATGAATGAAAACACTGGCTATACGCAGTGATTTTGACTTTTAAGTTTTCAGGATTTAGGGTTTTAATTCCCAACAGCGAATCTGTTGGGTTTCAATCTCTGGGGCCGGGGACTGGTGACATGAAAATGCACGCCCCGAAAAACAGTCCTGGAAACTTGCTGGAACCTTTCGCTGTGGGGTTGCAAAGCTGGGCTAATTTAGGGTTTAGGGTCTTAGGTTTTAGGGTTTTAGGGCTTGTTGTTTTGGAAAGTAAAAACACTTAAAGCCTACGCAGGGATTTGAGCATGTCAAAGGATATGCGGGATTCGCCGCAGGCAAACCTAGGGTTTGCAGCGAACATGTTATGATGGGTATGTATGTGTATGATGTGTTTATTCATATGGGCAGGCTACTATAGGCTACTTGTGTCAGTACCTAGCTGCTCGACCCATCCCAAACTAATAAACAACATGCTGCTAGTGAAGGTGTATGGAAAATGAATGAAAATGACCCAAGTGGTGAAATACGGTACAGGCCCATGTCGTAGCACTTATATTATATTGGTTTCAGATTGTCTTGCCACTGGCGGGCATGTTTTTCCAAAATTGTGACCTTGTGTGACCTTGAGACTACTGGGATGTTCCCTCAGCATCTCCGACCCCAACTGCCCCTTGCAGAGGTCGAGTTTGACTCTGCCATTGATGAGCTGCTTTCCGCTTCGTGGGCGCAAGCAGTCGAGGCGAAAATGGCATAGTTTCACCCTCAGTTTTTATCCTTTGGAGGTTGCTTCCCCCAGAAGTTAACACCAAAAATCCTCAAAAATGGCGCTATCCCATATATTTTTGGGTTCTCAAAATCCTAAAAAAAGTGGGATATATATATATAATTATATATATATATATATCTATATCTATATTTATGTGGCAACACATTTTTCCCAACCCTTTCCAAAGCCACATTTCTTGCTAGCCAGGAGAGGCAGCCATCTACCGAGAGGCCTCGAACAGAGGCCCTGGGACTTGTGGCAAATTCCTTGTTTGAGACAATCTGATGTATCGGTTATATGAGTTATATGTCTTCAGGGTATACTTAAAATGAATAGAACATATAAGTACTTAAACCCTAGGTTTGGGGTTCGATATGGGTCCGGAAATGGCTTGATGGAAGATTTCATTTTGAGAAACCTGCACCAAATTTGCCAAACAGCTTCAGTTTCTGGCCAAGGCTGCCATGGTTTCATGATGGAAAGTCACTCAGATCGATTCCCATTTCCCACTTGGTTGATTCATAGAGGGGTCCATTGAACAACCGGCAAATGGAGCTACATATAGCTACATACATGATTGAAGTCAGCCCAGTCATGAGTGTAACACCGAGGATTAATCAAGCCCTAATTTTTTTCATAGGGGGGGAAAGATTTTTCATGGCAATGCATCACTGGTTGCCAGCCCGTCAGCCCGGCTGGCTTTAGGCTACTTCACGTGCTCAAGCTCGAGGCTGGGAAACACCCGCGGCATCCCACAGCTTGCCAACACAGAAACATCAGAGTACTGAGGTACTGAATATCTGACGGTGGCAGTGAACCATATTCAAGCATGCCAAATATGCCAAGGGATTTCAGAACATATAGAAAAATCTTGGGCGCTTGCAATGATAAGTGCTGGACAACTCGGAGACTGTCCTGGCATCCGGTGGAAGGCATGAGACCGACCAAGCCTCGGTGGCCGAAGGTGCCGACATCGCAGCCGACATCGATATCTTTTTGTGTCAAAAAAATGTCTAAATTAAGTGGTCATTCGAAGGGAACCTTTACAGGAACATTTTCCATTTTATGAAAATGGGTGTTTTCAAACAATGGCTTCTGCTGAGGGTAAACCCAACGGATTACTGGGATGATCCCCTACGGTAGTGATTCATGGATATCAATGGTTTGGTAATCACACATGGTTTGCTGGAACATCTTCCATTTAGATCCATTTAGATATATTATGATATATTTAGTTAATTTAGTTCGATGATTTACCTACTATTTTGATGGTGATGTTCCAGTTCGCAAACTGTCGAAGTACCACAGGGTAAATCCCATGATATCCCATTGTATTCCCATAATAGACCCCGCCAAATCCCTATTGTTGTTGGTTTAGCATAGGGAAATTTGCCTGATTGTCTCATGATCATCCCATGATATTCCCATTATATGCCAGTTAAAAATCCAACTGGACAGAAATTCAAGCCGCAGCCAGTTGCCAGTCAGGCCTCGACCTCCAGATCTCGGCGGAGAGAGAGGAGGTGGGACTTTTGAAGATGTTTTTCGCAGCTTCCTATGGCAAGAAAAGATCATGATTTAGTATGATTTAGTGTGATTTGATGTATTTCATTGGCAAACATGTTGGTTCAGAAGCTGATGGACATATTTGAGGTGGATTGAAATATGGTTTTCATCTGCTTTCGTCCTCGAGCGAAGCAGATTTCACTGCTGAGTCAATCTGAGTATCGCCAGGAGAAGCCTGAGCCGCAGGTCTAAAGGCACCGGCACCCCGGATGGAGGGGTGTTGGGAGGGGGTGTATTCGATTCTGTAGTTTCGCAAAGCCAATGCCATAAACCTACCATTTGGGCATGATATTACTCACCCATCTATGGTAATACCGGGGATGATTAATAATTGGTTTTACCACATTATGGGATATTGGATAATTTGGGTAATTAACATATTGGATCATTATATGTATATAAATATTGGATAATATGGGATAATGTTTTGGGATAACATGGGTAACATATGAATTATGGGATATCTATTGAAAACGATTGTTGTTCCCGGTTGTGTATATATTAGTCATGTTTTAACATGCTGTGTTTTCCAGGAAGCCAACGTAGTCATGCAAAAAAGGTGGCCATTGAGTTCCATGATTTACCCTCTGGTAAAGTAACAGTTTGCTATTGAACATAGCCATTTATAGTTGATTTACCAATTAAAAATGGTGATTTTCCATAGTTACGTTAGTTTATCAGAGGGTACCTATTAAACATGGTGTTATTCCGTACAATAACATACAATAACCATGTTACATTACCAAAGGGTAAGCGACTGGAACACAAACATCCCAGATGAACACAGCAAATCCAAGATCACCCGCAAAAAAGTAGCTGAGAGAGATTGAGAGTTGGCAAACTAACGTGCATTAGCCATTTTCCAGACGACTAAACATGCTATTTCTCTAAAATTTTCGGGGATCATTTCACTCTCAGAAGAATTGATCGAATGATCCTCCAGACCCAACATTTTAGGCCGGTGAACTAATATTCAGCCAGATGATTTTGGATTTCTTGGCTTGGTAGCCATCATTATAATTGCGATTACGAACCATCACAGATTGGGATTTTTTTTGGGTGGTAAACTCTGCAAAACCTCCAATGCACACTGCAGCATCAGGTCGTGCAGGCCGCGAGGGGAGGTCAAGACGACGTCGAGACAGGGAAAGCAATGCGCCGCTGCATCCCAGTTTGGCGGTGCCCTTAGCGATCCCTGCAACTCTCTGAGATTGACAACTGGGCAACGTATCAAGACATATCAAGACATATCAAGACATATCAAGACATATCAAGACATATCAAGACATATCAAGACATATAAAAACATGACTACAGTCCACGAAGCACATTGAAACACAGAACTAGCACACCCAGGAGTTTTACGGTACACGGCTCGTAACTATTCTAAAAGGAAGATAAATAAGACTAGCAAATCACTGGCTCATGATCAAAAACCTGTTGTTTTCCATTTGGGGGTCAACGGATCAACATCGGCCGAGGCTGCACCCCGCGCAGCGGCTGCAGCTGCTGCGGCCGCAGCTGCCAATGCCGCAGCATTTCTTTCTGCCAGGTCTCGCGCAGCCCAACCCGGCTTTGAACATCCTGCGCCCCTGTGACTCGTTGCGGGGAAAAAGGTGCAAAAATCCATCCCCATCCCTAGAATTAGTTTATATAATTTATATAACATCTTATGTTTATATTACACAATTTTTGTATATTAATGACTATTAATGTATATTATATTATGACTTTATCCTGTCTTCACTTTCCAGCTGGCATCAACTGGGAAGTTGGTTTTAGGGAGCTTCCTTAGCCGCTGGAAGCCGCTTCCACATCATTCCTGATATGGCCTCGGGCCTCGGACATTTTTCAGAACAACATTTGCGGAACAAAATGGTCCCTCAATCTTGACCCAATTAGGGATCCAAGCATGGGGATATTGGGGATACTGTCCTGAAACACACATGGTTCCTCCAAAAAAAGGACCAACAAAATGACGCGAGCAGTGTTCAAAACCCGGTGTTGTCGCTTGGTACTTTGGTACTGGCTGGTCATATATAATAGGATCTCCGAGATCGTGGATCATGACAATCCCCAACATTTTTCGCGGGGGGCATAATCCCGTCCAAAAAGTCAATGCTGAGGCAAAGGCAACGCCTGAAGGCGAGCCCTTTTTTTTGGATCCCAAATGGTCCAAAGGTTGGCTCCAACTTGGTTTGGTGATGAACTTGCCTGGCAGTTCAAAGTGACCATTCAGTTTTTATTGCTGTTTTTTTTTGGGTGACCGGTTCAAGTTTTTGTTTGGCGGCCTCAAGCTACCGGGGTGAATGATAAGTCACTCGCTGGCAGTCTGTGACCCCTGAACCGGATGCCGAACTGGATGGTGACCCGCTCAGCGACGAGGACTGACAGCAGGACATGGTGAAACATGGTGAAACCAGATGTGTGAATGCATGAATTTGGCATTTTTAATGGGGAAAAGAATCCATGAGAACTATCGACCTTTTAAAGGCCCTATCATATTGAAATGCACTGATCGTTATCTAGTTATGGGATTGTTTTTCCATCCAGATGGTGCTACCGTCATACCTTGGATGGCCAGTTTGCCAGGACTTTTAGCAGCACTGCGGCAAAAAAAAGAGGGTCTTGAGGGCAAAGCAGGATGGACACGTCCCAAGGAAGATCGGGAAGGATCCTTTTCCAAGTGTATATTGGGGCTTGCGTTTAGGGCTGAAGCTTGTCGCTGGATGCCTTCCGAAGTCGGCTCGCAAAGATCAGCCGGGTGTCAACACGTTTCAACTACAGTACTCTGCCACCAGAGGGCCCAAAGGGTCCAAAATCAAGCAATAGAACATCTATGAATATCTTAACTTAAGATTAGTTGTTGAAACTTTAAGCCTTGCCATCTTGCTGCAGTCTTTCCATTGACTTCCCATTTCCAAACCGAAAGTTGACTGGTAGACTGTTCGGTTTGGCATTGAAAGACAACATCCGCTGCTCGCCATGGGCATTTGTCCATCGCGGCATGTGGCATGCAAGAGGCGTGTAGAGGAGGACGGAAGTGCTTGGGACGTTCACCTGCCAAGAGTTTGCCGGCCTTGACATTGTGTTCAAAAGCAAAATTTTTCGGCACGGGAAAGCTGGTAAACCATGGTAAACCCGAAAACCAACCTATGTACATCAACCATCATCAACCTACTGTCTGGGATCGATTATACAATTGTACCATCCTTTTATGGTTGTCGGGGATGGTTCATGATTGGGTTTACCATGGTTTACCACATCAATTAAATGCATGTAAATGAGGGTTAAAGCAACAAACTGACATGGCATGTATATAGAGAGGGCTAGATAGGAGGTGGATATTGAGACCTACATTGCCAGCTGTCAATGACTTAGATGACGCTCCCTTGGGGTCATGCTTTCTTTGAATAATGACCGGACTGAGGCTTACAACGTAGATTCCAATTCGTTTATAGTCAGAGGACCCAAAAAACAGTGAAGTCGATTGGCTCTATGTAGTATAGAAATCACTCAAATCCAGGGCTCCAAGCGAACCATTCCAGGAGCATGGTGCTGTCCTGAGCTTCCAAGGGTCTATGAACTATGGTATTGCCGCTGCGGTAGGGCATTTCCACATTTTTGGGAGTTGAACTTCACCTGTTTTAGGGATGAAATTCCAAAAGGTGATTCAGTGATAGCTTTTGGAGAACAAGTCTCAAAGTCTCCCCAGTTTGATGGGATGGGTTCCTATGGGAGTCCCGTTTTCAGACAAACCTGGCACTGCAAGGTGGTGCCCCTCACACTTATGTTTGTTGAGTTAACTAGTTCGATATCTACCACAAACTCAACAGTTGAGCTATGTCAGCCAACTTAGCTCACGCACATCACCCACTCAATCCTGAGTTTCCATGAGTAACCTCTGGTTGAACCACCATTTTTATCCATTTTTCCTCTGGTTGGTGGATGAAATCCTATGGATTTCCCAGCGTTTAACTTGGCGTTGCCCAAGGTACCACTGGCAACGTCCAGCTGGTGATCCACAACTTGGCTGGAGAGCAGCGCCGGACCCAAACATGGGAAGTGGCCAGGACATTTTGGAAAAATGGGACCAAAAATGGGACAAACATGCGAAACATGTCTCCGAATCTTCTTAGAATGAAGCTGGTCAGATTCGATCTGAGATTCGAACTGAGATTCGCGGAAAAATGTGTCTCCTGTTTAAATGACAAGCGCATTCTTGTGCTGAGGGTCAGGGTTGAAGACTCATCTTGGTCCAAAAAGTGTCGTTTTAAGCTATGGCTATGAGCCATTTTTGGGGGGTTCACCTCCTTCCAACTCCCAATCCCACCGCAATGACGACGCTGAGCTATTCGTCCCCTTGGAGCCGTTGAGTTTCTAAGTGACCAGCGTCCCAATCAACCTCCCAGGCTGTCGTTGACGCGTCCCTCAGCCTGCCAGCTGCACGAGATCTTGGAGGCAATCCACAAAGAATGGAAGATACCCATTCTCGCGCAGTGCCTTGGGCGGTCCTGTGGATGGGAGGCAACCCAGCATGATTCACATGAAGAACATACTGTATCACGGATGTATCACGGATGTTTTTGGGATGGTATAAGTTCTATCAGATTCTATCACCAGGAACATTTGGGTAATTTATGTTAACAGTCATCATTGGAGAACAGTTGTGGTTGTTTCGTGGGCCTTTGGTATCACCTAGGGTATCACCCAAGAAGATGGCCATATCCAGGTCTCTTTCTGCCTTGGATTGGGCACCATCAAAATGTGGATGTTGACCCTTCGGGTGACCAATGGGGATGAAGGATCGAAATGGTATGATTCAACCACTTACCCTCCGGTAAACAAACAAAAAGCTATTGAAAATTGCCATTTATAGTTGATTTACCCATTAAAAACGGTGATTTTCCCTAGTTATGTTAGCTTACCAGAGGGTACACATGAGTGTCAATTGGCCTGGATTGGCTGAGTAATGATTCTTTTGCATATTCCCACTGGTTAATCCAGCAGAAATGAGAAGGCTACTACTGGCAATCAATCCTTCGAATAGATTTTTTGGGTTTAGCAAAGGATTGTTCCCGAGCTGTCCATGTCTTGATATCTCAGATGATGTGACTCAGTAAATTCAGATTCCAGATATTTGGCAGGAGATGGGGCCATAGATATAGGATCTAGGCTCAAACATAGATATATTATATATTTATATTATAGATAGGATATGGTAGGATATAATTTCGGAGCTACCCGGAAAATATCGAGACCCCGGGTAAAATATTGAGGGATCTACTCCAAAAAGGATGGAGATCCCATGGGTCACTGCCTGAGGCGTTTGGTGCTGAAAGATGACACCCGGCGAGTCGGCGAGTGGGTTCACGTGGGTTAAACCAGGGAATCCATGTCCAAATGGACGGCGAAAATCTGTGGCGAAGTCTCCCCATATCGGGCTATATACATGTTTTTTTTGGGATGTTAAACGGCAAATCTGGGGATATCAACCAACTGCCCACCGTGAGGAACGACATGAGGATATTGGTCCAGGACCACCTGTTCCGGTTCCATGACCACAGATTGGGCGATCCAGCAATGGACTTTCATCAGCTCATTTCAAAAAATGAATGAATACACAGGGACATTCAATTGCAATGATTCAATGGATACATCGAGACTCATCAGATCTTGCAAATAGAATCAAAGAGATGAACAGCACTACAAAGCTTACGATAAAACATAGATACCCTCTTGTAAACTAACAGTTCGCTCTGAAAAAATCATCATTAAGTTCGGAACATCAACTATATATTTCCTCCACGGGCCATGTTCAAAAAAGTGCTATGTTGCCAGGGCTTCGCTTAGCATTTTGGGTACCCTCTGGTGAACTAACATAGCAATGGAAAGATCCACCATTTTTGATGGGAAAATCCACTATTTCTATAGCCATTTTCCATTGCTATGTTAGTTCACCAGAGGGTAAACCATGGACACATTTGATGTTCGCGGCCACGACATGGATGGACCCAGGAAGTGGTGTCTCAATCCTCGGGTGCCATCGGCCGAATCCTGGGACTGCCCAGCGGTGGTGAGGTCGTCGCTTGGTGGAGTTTTTTTTTTTTTCTCGGAGAGTTCACCAAGAAAAAATGGGGAACAAAAATGGGTTAATAGTGGTTAATAGTTGGTTAATAGTTGGTTTATAGTTGGTTAATAGTTGGTTAATAGTTGGTTAATAGTGGTTAATAGTGGTTAATAATAATGGTTACCATTTGGTAAAAAATGGGGAACATACCCTCCGGTCATTTAACCCCTGGGTGGCATGGGGGATCATAATTTCACCCATAGTAGAGAAATCTATCAACCAAGTAATTTACCATCTGGTTATTTAACATAGCCATGGTATAGATGGCCCATAGAAATAGATGGTTTACCGTTCTTAATAGCATGGTGATTTTCCATGGCAAACTGTTAAATAAGCAGATGGTATAGTTTGCGAAGTTGAACATGGGCCATGGAAATAGTTGATCTGCCGAACTTTTCCAGATGGTGATTTTCCATAGCGAACTGTTAGTTTACCAGAGGGTAAATACGAATAAATTGAATAAAGAGAAACAGTCCTGGTTTGTAGCTGCCCCTTTGCCTGACATGCTCGCCCCTCAGTTTCAAGACATAAGGCGATGAAGAAAAAAAGGGTCCTGTTCCCGTGTTTTGAGGTTTGCACACCCTTCCGAGTGGAGAAATTAAGGGGTTCAAATGTGCTGAGAAAATGACGGCTTTTCACCTCACCGTTGACTGTCACTTGGGGATCAGCATGGATCAACTATTTCTTTGCTGGTGGCAATCCCAGTATATCCCATCCGGCATTTGATCCATATGGGATGAGATCAACCATCCAAGCTGACTAGAAGCCCGACAGCAAAAAAAAACAAACAAAACAGAACCCATATGGCCATATGGTACTGTAACTTACCTATGGTATGGCCATCATATGGCCATCATATGGCCATCATATGGCCATCATATGGCCATATGGTACTGTAACTTACCTATGGACACCTATGGAAGATTATGGGTATCAAGACTCACCGTCTTACTGGTGGCTTCCCGGCATCAGGAACTTGTTTGCCTGCGACACTTGGATTGCAAACCGAGGAACAGCCCAAGAGGATCCAAGAGGTAGGTGTTTCATGGTGTTTCATGGTGTTTCATGGTGTTTCATGGTGTTTCATGCGTAGGATCTAGATATGAAAAGCATTCGTGCAGCTTTGGAGAACGAGGTCAGGCACGCAAAATACGATACGGGAATGGAGAAGAAGGGAGACACAATCAGTCGGTTACGTGATGTACCAAATACTTTCTGTGGCTCATGTGAGTTCGGCAAGAATGATGGTTTATCAAACAGCGAACGGGTTAAGCGGATAGAACATGATGGAAACAGTCCTTTGATTGACTGGCGTTTTCCCCATGGTTATGATATCACAGATATAGAGGTCCCAAAAAAGATAGGATCTTATCCCAGGAGGGTTTGAGGATGTTTCCCCCAGAATATCTCCAGGTTTGCACCTTTTCAGCAGAGCCTTGCTGCAGAATGGTTGTGGTAAATGAGGAACCTGCCATTCCCAAAAAATCCCTGAATGTAAATTGGATGCATCTGGGTTGTTTATATTAGTTGATATTATATAATAATGATAATGCTAATAATAGTATTATTAGTAGTATGAGTATGCAAATGCACACACACACACTCACATATGTATACGACACACACACACATATATATACACATGCATATATTTCTAGATGCATACATGATGACCAGTATACAAACAGACACACACACATATATATAATATATATATAATATATATAATATATATATAATATATATAATATATATATATAATATATATAATACATATATATACGCATATTAAGAGCCATGGCAGACTACACCAGGAACAACGTAACATGACCTGTGCACCCTCCAGTGCACGACAGACATCACCCGCTGGCCCGTGAGGCAATCAACTCTCATTTGAAGTGCAAGAGTCTCTAGACCTCAGGCAGTTTCAGCGGGAAGGTTTCACGAAAATCTGGGGATACTTTTGTTTGAAAACAAACATGGGGGAATCAACCAAAATGATAGTACCATTGCTATTTGTTATTATAAAATCATTGCCAAAAAAAACAAATCGCTTCAATCCACTTCAATCCACTTCAAAAACATGGAGGCCGGAACCACATCACATCACAATGGGCATCTGACGATCCTGGCCTCGGGCCAGGCTCTTCGATGCAGTTGCAGCTAGTGCGGACCTCGGCCTGAACTGCTGAGATCTGGGCGGCACCTTTCTTTTGACATCGCAGTGCAGGTCTACACGATATCGGATACGATATGATAATATATGATACATAGATATGATGATATATGTATATAACAATATTTATATAGATAGGAAATTGGGATGTGAACCTTCTGTTCTTTTGGTTGCGTCTACACTTTTAGTTGGTTAAGTTTGCGCTGGCCATTTTTGCGTTGCCTCCACATTGGTACTATTCCGACTATTCCCAATCATTTCTCTTGCTTTTTGTGGTGATTTGCCATATTTTCTTGCCAAGATTATATAAGATCTCCAATTTATTTCCGGCATCATTTATACCACGTGGTGAACGGAGGGAGCGGAGTTCGGAGCTAGGGGTATCAAAAAATTCCCAACAAAAGCCATGTGGGAACCAGTCAGTCCAACTGGATAAGTTGGTTTATATACCCATTAAATCCCATGAATTAGTATAGTTACCCTCCTGTAAACATACCAGATGTGGAAATCCCACCATGAATGTAGATCATTTGCCTAGGGAACCTATGGTTTTTCCACATGCCACCAGGCGACTACGCCGAGATCGCCGCAGCCCTGATTGATGGGGCTGGACCTGGAGTACCAGACCAGGAGCGAAGTCAACAGCAGTTGAAGAATGGGGAACATGTCACTATGAGGATAAAGCATGAGAATATCCTGTTGTTTTTTTTAAAGTTAAATTGGAAATCACAATGGTTTTATAGGCTTAAAAACGAACGATCATGGGAGTATCATGGGAATATCATGATAATGGTAATGATAATGATTTTGCATAAAATCTGATTCCCACGGGAATATTCAGGGTATGATCGGAATAAACAATGGTTTCTTATGCTTTACTATGGCTGGAAAATAAGGAAAATAAGGAAGAACTCTCTGGACAAATTAGAACGACCTCACTGTGACGTCGCTGGAATGACGGGATATGGGTTGGGGGAACTATCCCCTGCCGAAGCTTTTCCAGGTTTGTGATCTCCGAATTGGTTGAAGTGTAAAGTAGGAGGAAACCACCATTTTTGTGAAAGGATGAAAGGAAAAACACTGGTTTCTTATGGTTTCCTGCAGACTTTCTCTAGACCAATCCTTTGATCAGCCCTGGTCAGCATTAATCCCATGCCCCTGATATTAAACACCTCTCAGAAACCATCGTTTAGCAGAGGGTTTACACATATTTGGGACCATTTAAGGGGTGTTTAATATTGGGGGGATGGGATTATATACCGGGGGTACAATCACAAACGCACTCAAAAGGGATTGATTGGTGATCATTGTTCGTAGTAGTGATGATGCCATGGCAGTCATAATCATATCACAATGATCATAGCAACAAAAGAAGTAACATGTAACGGCAATGGCAACGCTGATTGCAGTAAGAATGCATAAGTTGTAAAAACATGCGTGATAATAGAAAGATGATAGTGCTAATTGTAACAACAAAAACAACAAAGTCAATAATAACGAGCAATAACGAACAACAATATCAATAACAACAACAATAATACTCGTACTACCTTGTTACTAACAAGTCAATCATTACTATAACATAGTACTAATAATACCAAAAATAGCAATATTGAAAACAATCATCGATAGAGAATAATCCTCCTCCTCATCACCATCAATAATGACAGCAATATACAATCATGTCTAGTCATATTACTGTAATATTAAGATCAAGAAACATACTAATAAACAATTATCAATCATACATAGCAATCAGCATACTATAACATACTATTAAGAACCATACTCATAAACATATGGCAGTGTGTCAAAACCTAGTCTGTAGTTCACATCAAAATAGCTGGGTTAAAATGGATGTTCATCCCACTAAAAATGGTATTTTCATAGGTATTGATCCATAGCCATATCAATCATACAATTACCCTCTGGTTATTTAACATAGCCATGGAAAATGGCCCATAGAAATAGATGGTTTACCTGGGTTTACCTATTAAAAATAGTGATTTTCCATGGCGAACTGTTAAATAACCAGAGGGTATCAATAATCTCCACCGCTAATCATCACCGCAATTACCGAGATTTCCGATCCCCAGGACTCCAAGGCACCTTCGGCCTTCCTGACGGCTTTGGCCCTGAAGGATCGCGAAGCGGAGCAGATGCTGTGGGACGCAGGTGGAAGCCACGGCCAAATGCTTCCTGTGTGCCACATTTGTCATAGATTTGGGCACTTGTTTGGCGTTTTTTTGCCGATTTTTGCAGATTTTTGGGCTACCGTAATTTTTCTTGTGCAAATTTTGAGGTAAATGTAGGAAAACAGACTGCGCATGGAGTATTCGACCGGTTCAACCGACAGAAAATGGGTAAATTGATCCAATACTGCAATTGCTGAATGGGGACATCTATCAAGAAGCCTGGGGAATGCAAGCAAAAAGAAATGCAAAGCATAAACGTTTGGCGATGCACCGGTGCACCCCAACAAAAACACACCCAATCAACAACCATGATAGCACCATAAACAAATTGGACAAACACAATAACTGGTTGGTGGTTTGGAACATTTTTTATTTTCCATAATATATGGGATAATCCTTCCCATTGACTAATATTTTTCAAGATGGTTAAAACCACCAACCAGACAATATCGTGTTGCTAAGAATTGGGGGGCCTGCGAATTCACCGTTTCAAGATTAACGGAAGACATTTCTGCCGCTCCGGCATATCTACCATGGGTCCAGTCACCATAAAATTAGGGCCGTCGTTGATCCCCGAGTGGTCGCCGCGCAGGTGTCAGAACAGATCAGACTGACAAGAGCAAGGTGAGAATCATCGAGAAAACCTAAGGGCCCAATGGTGCTGGGATGGTTTCGACACAGATGAAGAATAAAACCTACTGCTATTGAGATTGATGACTTGGAACAAATATTTAAAACCAATGTGTTGTCCCTCGCAGCGTGTCGTGTAAGCAGACCCCATCAGAAAACCAATGTGGAACTGCCAGCTGTGGCCTCAGCCTTGAAATTTCGTGTTATCCTGACTATTGTGGATGAAATCCAGTCTTTGGGGGCTTGAGTCCCTTTTCTTATAATTAGCAATCTTTCATTAGTCAATATATCTCCATATTATCGACATCTATGAATCACACACACACACACATATATATATATATACATATAAATATGTATACAAGGAGGGCCCTCAATGAAGAGGGCTGAAAACAGCGTCCGTTAGCGACCCCAAATTCAGACCTTTTGCACACACAGCACGAGGCCCCACGTATAGGGTCAAAGCAGCGGCTCCCCCCCGCACCCCCAGGATCAATGTTGTTTCCTGGTGTTAATCACTGCAGCAGCCATCTTCCAAAGCGTCAGGTCTTCACAGCAAGACATTTTCGTCAACCTTGATTCCGGGGGGTGCAGGGGGGGGCCAACATGTGGCCGGAAAGGCCCTTTGAATTAGGAAGAAACACATGTGCCGTCACTCCAGGTGGCACATCACAGCTGCAAGACCGCGTGATGTTTGTGTGTGAAAACTAACACTGATCAATGGCGATGTCAATCTTTGCAGTGGCTCCACTGCAACACTAGCATGCTTCGGTGTGAAACTACTAAGCACGATGTCACAACTTTATATTGGCTCTGCCGCAAAACTACTATGCTTCTGTGTGAAAACTACTAAGGGGAATTTCAAACTTTGTATTGGCTCGGTGGCAAAACTACTAAGGAATTGTTCAATGGACAAAAAAGGAAACACTTTCTTCTATTTCTTTTCAATTGGCAGAAATCCTTAGTAGTTTTGCGTCCAAGCCATTGTGATTTCAATTTCACGGGTTAGTAGTTTTTCATGCGTGCATGAGCTGTGACTCTGCCGTGCCAATACAAAGTCTGCGAAAATGGTTGGAAGTATCCTTAGTAGTTTTTTGGGGCCACAGCAAAAACAGGTGCCAAAGCACGCAAAAACGTGTTTTTGATGCCTTGGGAGACAGCAGTCGTTAGGTAACCTGCCGCGTGTGACTTCACCACATTCCTGTCTGACTCCTTTAGAGACAGCAGTCTCAAGCGCTTCAGTGAAACATATAGTTTTGAGGAAGCTGCTGCTGACTCCTCGGGAGACAGCAGTCACAAGTGCTTCGGTGAGACATATAGTTTTGAAGAAGCTGCTACTGCTGACGGGTCATTTTGAAGGCCAGGAGCCACGAGAGGTCTTGGGTGCTCAGTTTGCCCGCCGATTTCAGGACTCTGCGTCGTTTTTTCTCCTGGCGCAGAGCTGAAACAAAAAGATTGAAAGTACAAGTGGTGCGATGCAGGTGCAATGCAGCTTCACCAAAAAAAACCTGAGATGGGAAAGATGAAGGTGCAAGTGGCACGATGGAATGTCAATACAGCTTCACCAACACAAACATGGCACACAAGGATGAAATTGAACCAGCCTGGGCCTTGACTTCTCGACTGGTTTGCTGCAGCTGGCGTTTCAAGGCCTGCCTTTCAGCTTTCAAAGCAGCTATACGGTCATCCATCCCGGGCACATGGGCTACAGCAGCACCTTCCGCAGCATCCCTTTCCATACCAGCGGCGGCAGACGACATGGCTATAGATATAGTCAAATTGTGTTTTCTGCGACGAGCTGTGAGCAGTGCTAGCTGCAGAAGCCATGCCGTCTGGACAGCTTCCATGCCAATTTTCTCAAACTGCACAACTGGAAGATAGTGTGACAAAACATGGCCGGTGGGGGCCCAAAACTGGGGGCTTGAAAAGTGATGCCAAAGGGACTCCCGTACCATGTACCCCCATAGTATTATGGAAAAAAAATCTTTGTCCTATAGTGCCACCCACGTCTGCAAATCTGTTGGATCCACCCGGAGCGGCAGCATCAAAGAAAAAGAGCCTTATACGCGTGCGCCATTTGGCGTCGCGCTGGCCAAACGCACTGCATCTGCTGGGGTGTCGGCCTGTCAGGCCCAGGCCAAGGCACCCCTGCACCCATCAAGTGTTGAAGCGCTTTGTGCACTTGACCTGGGCCATTGCAGCCCACTGCATCGAAGCTTTTCTGCCATTGCCGAGCTGCCCAAAATTCGTGAGGGGCTTGCATGCACTGCCATAGCCAGGCCAGAGGAGGCACTAAACCATGCTCTGAATATGAGCGCAACTCCTGGTGCTTCCTTTTCAAATATTGTTTAAAAGGGGAGAAGCCTTGCAGATCAAGCGGCTGTAGGTAATCCGTTGTCTGCGCTGGGATATATACAAGCTGCAGCTTGCACTTGCGTGCCATTGCCATGACCTGCCGTGGCAGGTGTGCCGGCGCACAATCAAGGAGTACAACGCCTTGTTTTGACGGAAAACTTTTCAACACTTCTGCGATCTCTTTGAGAATTTGGGCACTGTTGGCAGCAGAGGTCCAAGCGGACTTTTGCCGCAAAACACGCAAACGAGTTTGTGGCAAAGCGCGCTGGGCGCGCAAGAGCTTCTTCATGAGTTTCACCTGGGTGCCAATGAGAAAATGAGGCAACTTCCCTTGGATGTGCTTGCAGTTGCAAATCACGCTGACATAAGTCCACGCACCTCGAACATGTTGCTTCAGCACCTGTGCATGCGGCTGTTTGCCCCCTGCTGTCCGTGGCTTTGCCACACATCCAATAGGCGGTGTCATGGTGTGGCCGACGCTAGTCTCATCCAGATTTATAAAAAGCAGCTCCCTGTCTGCGAACCTGCTGTGGCAATAGCAGATGGTCCGCCAAAATGTCATGACCTGCTCGAGCGTTGCAGGAAGTGAAAGACAAAGCCTTATTATATATAGGGTCCCCAAATATAATTCCGAGGGAAGAAATTGATTGAAAATGGGGGCCTATTTTTGGTGCCAGATTCTGGCCCCAAAAATGGGACCGCCCAACCGGGATTAAGTAGGCTTATACAGGCATGAAACATGAGGGGGACCCATTTTTGGGGCCACATTCCGGCCCCAAAAATGGAGCCACCCAACCCAAAAAAAGAAGACAAAATGTTGTAAGTTGGCTGGCCCGCGCCTTGTCGCGCAGTACAGCGGGGTCTCTGCTAACAACTTGCTTCAGCACCTTCCGGCGGACGCCCCGCCAGCGCTGCACCCACTTATTGACCATGCGTTTGTTTGGCACACCCATGTCCAGCTTCTGGCCATGGAAGGCCTCCTCCCACTTCAAAAACGTGTCCATCGCAGAAGGTGCTTGACCATGATTCGTATTGCAGTCATAGACCCACTGCTCCGTGGCTGCTTCGGCCAGGAAGGCTTGCGCTTTGCGTGAAGCTGTGTCATCCAAAGCGGTCAAATTTGGCAGCGGCGTCGTCAGCAACATCTCTTGGATCAAAGCTGCCGTGGGGTACCCATTGCTGCCATAGGATATCGTTGTCAAAGCACAAGCCATGCGGAGAGTCAAATCCATGTTACAATTCGACAGCATGTAAACAGCTACCACAGTTTTGCGGGCTGCCACTCCAAGGCCGGCACAGTGCAACCTTTTCCATTTTTTGGCATTCTGCCGATAAGCCGCTTTCAGTGCTTTGCCATTCTGCACCAAGGCTTCCTTCAAGTCTGACACCCTGGCATCAGATGTGCCTTCGGCCACACCACGCTGCATGACTGACCGCAGAAAAACCATCTGTCGGCAGACTCATTGAAAACATTCGTGTCATGTCAAACCAATCCTGTCTGATACAGCTGAATTCGAATGGAAGCAAGGAAGATGACCTAATGAGTGCGGCCAAAGCATGGCCTCGGCATTTCAAAGCATACAAATTCATGTCTGGCTCATGCAAAAAACAAAAACTATATTGCTGTTGCATGCAGTCAGCGCGGCAAGACTTGATTCATATGGCTGCGTCCAGGAAAAAACATCGAGGAGAGGCGACCTGTGAGGAGCAGGCAAGACCGAACAATGATGATGAGCCGTCCAATCATGTGGGTTTGTGTTATGACACTGTTATGGAAAAACACTGCTGGTTATCTCTCCACATCATGCAGGTTTGTGTTGTCACAAGGAGGGCCCTCAATGAAGAGGGCTGAAAACAGCGTCCGTTAGCGACCCCAAATTCAGACCTTTTGCACACACAGCACGAGGCCCCACGTATAGGGTCAAAGCAGCGGCTCCCCCCCGCACCCCCAGGATCAATGTTGTTTCCTGGTGTTAATCACTGCAGCAGCCATCTTCCAAAGCGTCAGGTCTTCACAGCAAGACATTTTCGTCAACCTTGATTCCGGGGGGTGCAGGGGGGGGCCAACATGTGGCCGGAAAGGCCCTTTGAATTAGGAAGAAACACATGTGCCGTCACTCCAGGTGGCACATCACAGCTGCAAGACCGCGTGATGTTTGTGTGTGTGTGTGAAAACTAACAATGATCAATGGCGATGTCAATCTTTGCATTGGCTCCACTGCAACACTAGCATGCTTCGGTGTGGGAACTACTAAGCACGATGTCACAACTTTATATTGGCTCTGCCGCAAAACTACTATGCTTCTGTGTGAAAACTACTAAGGGGAATTTCAAACTTTGTATTGGCTCGGTGGCAAAACTACTAAGGAATTGTTCAATGGACAAAAAAGGAAACACTTTCTTCTATTTCTTTTCAATTGGCAGAAATCCTTAGTAGTTTTGCGTCCAAGCCATTGTGATTTCAATTTCACGGGTTAGTAGTTTTTCATGCGTGCATGAGCTGTGACTCTGCCGTGCCAATACAAAGTCTGCGAAAATGGTTGGAAGTATCCTTAGTAGTTTTTTGGGGCCACAGCAAAAACAGGTGCCAAAGCACGCAAAAACGTGTTTTTGATGCCTTGGGAGACAGCAGTCGTTAGGTAACCTGCCGCGTGTGACTTCACCACATTCCTGTCTGACTCCTTTAGAGACAGCAGTCTCAAGCGCTTCAGTGAAACATATAGTTTTGAGGAAGCTGCTGCTGACTCACAAGTGCTTCGGTGAGACATATAGTTTTGAAGAAGCTGCTACTGCTGACGGGTCATTTTGAAGGCCAGGAGCCACGAGAGGTCTTGGGTGCTCAGTTTGCCCGCCGATTTCAAGACTCTGCGTCGTTTTTTCTCCTGGCGCAGAGCTGAAACAAAAAGATTGAAAGTACAAGTGGTGCGATGCAGGTGCAATGCAGCTTCACCAAAAAAAACCTGAGATGGGAAAGATGAAGGTGCAAGTGGCACGATGGAATGTCAATACAGCTTCACCAACACAAACATGGCACACAAGGATGAAATTGAACCAGCCTGGGCCTTAACTTCTCGACTGGTTTGCTGCAGCTGGCGTTTCAAGGCCTGCCTTTCAGCTTTCAAAGCAGCTATACGGTCATCCATCCCGGGCACATGGGCTACAGCAGCACCTTCCGCAGCATCCCTTTCCATACCAGCGGCGGCAGACGACATGGCTATAGATATATATATAGTCAAATTGTGTTTTCTGCGACGAGCTGTGAGCAGTGCCAGCTGCAGAAGCCATGCCGTCTGGACAGCTTCCATGCCAATTTTCTCAAATTGCACAACTGGAAGATAGTGTGACAAAACATGGCCGGTGGGGGCCCAAAACTGGGGGCTTGAAAAGTGATGCCAAAGGGACTTACCCGTTTACCCATGTACCCATAGTATATATTTATATGTATATATATATATATGTATATATATATGTGTATATATATATATGTATATAAAACTATAGAACAGTATAAATGTATAAATGTATAAAAATATAAATGTATATTGTATACATATATCCATACATACATACATGCATGCATGCATACATTCTTACATTCTTACATACTTACATACATACATACCATACCATACCATACCATACATTACATACCATACATTACATACCATACATTACATACCATACATTACATACCATACATTACATACCATATATATCATACATACCATACATACCATACATACCATACATACCATACATACCATACATACCATACATACCATACATACCATACATACCATACATACATACATTACGTTCACGTTTTACGTAATTGCTTGCATTGCATTGGATACATTTTTAACAGAAATCAATAATACATACATATCATACGTACGTTACGGTACGTACCATACATACATACATACACACATACACACATACACACATACACACATACACACATACATACATACATACCTACATACCTACATACGTACGTACGTACATACGTACATACATACATACATACATACATACCATACATACCATACATACCATACATACCATACATACCATACATACCATACATACCATACCATACCATACCATACCATTACATACCATTACATACATTACATACATTACATACATTACATACATTACATACATTACATACATTACGTACATTACGTACATTACGTACATTACGTACATTACATACATTACATACATTACATACCATACATACATTACATACCATACATACATTACATACCATACCATACAATACCATACCATACATATACATATATATATATATATACATACATATACATACATGTGCATACATATACATACATATGCATACATATACATACATATACATACATATACATACATATACATACATATACATACATATACATACATACATACCATAACGTAACATAACATAACATAACACAACATAACATAACATAACATGCATGCATGCATGCATCCATACACACATACATACATGCATACTTACTTACTTACTTACTTACTGACATACATACCTACATACCTACATACTTACACACTTACATATATCCTAAACCTAAATCTGTCTTCTTGACCACCCCATTTTCGCCGGGTCAACCTCGACCCCTTCCGACCCCTTTGGGACCCCTTGCAGACCTACCGGAGCTTGCGGCAAGCCTTGGCAACCCGTAGCCTGCCACAAGCCGTGAAGTGTTTGGCCCATGGGGCTGCAACTTGGCGCTGCGTAGAAAGCACCGATGGATGGTGGTGCTTTAAGCAGCACCGAAAAAGATCGAAAAAGTAGCCTACTAACATTGAATTGGAATCTTTTCCATCTTTTGGGGTTACTTTAAGGATTTTGTTGGATAAATTTGGATAATGTGAGTAATTATATAACTATTGGATGATTGAATATAATCAACCACCTTTCCAAGGGTGCATTTATCCGGTATTTATATGTATTTGTGGGATAATTCTTAGAGAACATGGGTATGTGCTCTTCATCATTTTTGGCCAAAAAAACGTCACGGATGTTCGTGAATCTTTGGGGTCCCCAAGATTCCACGGGTGTTTGGAAATTCCCAAGGTTTTTATGTTTGGATCGCTTGAACATTGGTGAACTCCATGTGAAATCCCATCTTAAATTGGTGAACTCATTGATTTTGGGAAACCATCTTTCAGGTGACTTAAGATAGATGATTTCCCATCCAATGAACATCAATCAACCATGGCAATGGATGGCAATGGGAAATCCCCATCTGAAAAATGGCGGTTTGGTGGGAAAATCCTGGGATCTGGACTGAAGTCTTGGTCGGCTGCCAGGATGTCAACACCTGGTTGAGACGAGGCGAAGGTGTCATGGACACCTCTGGCGCCCCGGAGAGCAACTGGTGGAGTTTGCAACCGAACAAAAGGGGAGGTAGAATGAGATAGAATGAATACCCTCTGGTAAACTAACAGTTTGCTATTGAAAATGGCCATTTATAGTGGATTTTCCCATTAAAAATGGTGATTTTCCATAGCTATGTTAAATTACCAGAGGGTAATATGGTTTTTCATGAGATATAGCCAACTTGATATGATGGGGTTTGTTTCAAAAATTGGTGTGGTTACCCTTTGGTAAGCTAGCATATGGAAAATCACCACAAGTACATCATCAAACTAACCCCAAATAATTATGGCAGATGTTTTCACCATAAAATGACCATCAACCGGAGGTGTTTAACAGTCTCACGGGCCGACCTTACCACGATTTTTGCAGATTGTGATCCCATCTTACATGGATGCTTCTGGAGATGCCTACATTCTGGCTTCATCTTGTATGAAGAGCTCCAGCTACGACTTTTTGAATGCCAGGGCTGAGTTGGCATTTCCAATTCTGACGGTCTGTCATTTGACGGGATTCCAACCTGTTGACCTGCGCCTACAGACCTTTATATACGTAGACTTGAGCGCATGGGGGGGCAGAAATCATTGATTCATGAACATGTGGAGGTTTCCAAAATGGGGGGGTACCCCTAAATCATCCATCTTGATAGGATTTTCCATTAGAAATATTAAAAGCCAACCATAAATGGTGGATCCCCCATTGATGGACAGCCCCACGTAGTTGTTCACAGTCAGAGGCCTGGGGACATGCTGTTGTTTTGAGCCAGTGACTCCTGGTTCCCAGAAAGAGTTGAGCCTCACCTCGGTGTTCCATGTCGGTGGCCGTGATCGGCAGCTCCGGTGGCGGCACTGCGACGCTGGGCCACACAGAGGCGGCTGAGCTGCTGCGAACGATCCATGAGGAACTGCGGAAGGTGGAAGATGCAGTAGGCACAGATGGTGAAACACCATTTAATAGGAATTAACTAGGATTTAAGTGATGATTTAATGGGATTTAATGGAATATAATCCCTTCCCCCTAATATTAAAATATATTAAACACCGTGTTTGATATTAGGGAAGGGATTAGTTAGCCATCCCCGGAAGTTTTTTTTTTTTTCTGGGTACTTCCCCGCCAAAATAGTGAAGATCCACTTTCTTGGCATTTTTTTGGATGGCGACAGTAAAACACATTTGGAATCATTTGGTTATATATATATATATATATGTATGTATATATATATATGCACATCACATTAAATGGGATTTATGGGATATATGTCAACACTAAAAAGATCTACATGTTATAAGTAAATGGGATTATATCCCCAAATGGGTTATATCCTACTCACCATTCTACCAATATGGTGTTTTATGGGGGTACAACTGGGATAGAATGGGGAAGGGGATGTAACTAAGCAACTTGATGTGATCTCTGGGTGTGCCTGAAAACGAAGATAAACGAAGGTATACGAACATAAATTGGCAGTTTAAAATGGCACAATTGATGCTAAACCATGGGAACGTCATGGTTTAATTGGGTTTATGATGGTTTAAGTTTGATCACGACCCTACGTCGCGACGTCACTGGAATGATGGGATTTGGAGTTCGGCAACTACCCCAAGATAGCCAAACTTTTCGGGTACTGTAAGTGAATTGTTGCAATTTATCTAGATCTATCCAATTTATGTTTCTCGCTACCTACCGTATCTCTACAATCCATCTATGCATTGTAAACGGCATATGTGCGCCTTGATGCGGTAAAACATAATTTTTCTGGCTGTAGACTGTGAAATGTAGGGCCCCCTTGAGGCATCACCAATGCTATCTTCGTCTCCCTGCATGGAGGGAAAGGCTTTGATTCTGCTTCTGACACGGACACGGCCATGCTGCATCTGGCCGGTGCTTTCGGACATTTCTATATTTTCTTAATCCGAAATGGGAATATCAATGGGAAATCAACTACCTAGGGAATCGATAGGGAATATGTTTTTGATATTTCGGGGTTCCTTCAGCAAATCCAAGTTATTCCAAAGTGGGGATACATAAATAAAACTGGGTTGGTACTTTTGAACTAGGTGTTGTTTTTTCATCCTGCCTGGGATGTGCTTGAAACCACTAGGTATTCCGCGAAGGGTGACTGTTCGGTGGAACTGATGAAGACCGGAATGTTGAAGGATGTGAACAAACGTTGCGTTGAGTTAGACCAAGAGTTGGCAAAGAGGATCTCTGATGGTGGCCCGGTGCTTATGGATGCTTATGCTTTTGTTTCCAGACCCTCTATGGGAGCTGGCCAAGGTTTTTGAATGGCTTGCTCAACCACCAACTCGGGTTAAACTATCCTGATTTTGGGATAGCATGCGCAGGCACAGGCACACATCCATAAACAGATATCAACATAGATCAACCACATTTTTAGCAGGGGTAGCTCAGCCAGCTCAGCTACAGGCGAGATTCAAGGCTTGATCTGCATTTCCTGTGATGTGGACCTCCATGCCTCCACCCTGCGTGCCGCTGCGGCGACGAAGATTCCCGTCACAGGTAGTGGAGGCACCAGCCTCTCCGCCGCGTCTTCGAGGTTTGGGATTCAGCTGGTGGGCAATGCCGGTGGATCGGTGGCCACCACTTCATACACCCGGGCCGTTTCGTATACCTATGCTTTGGCAACTGCTTGGATGAAGAAGTACCATGCCCTGAGTTCAACTGGCCAGAAGCCTCAAGTGACCAGTGTCCTTTGTGCTTGTCTCCCAGCTTTTTGGGCAGTTGCCCTGACCTGTCGAGTCTTGAAGCTGCTAATGCGGTCAAATCTCAATTGGTGGCCGGAGAGTTGCTTATTTTTGCTGCAAACACACGCATTGCCTACGGTGTGCAGCGTGATTACAGCGACCTCTCTAGCCCCACAGCATGGCTCAACGGTGTCGATGTCCTCAGCCATCGCCTCCATTGTGTGCGAGAAATCCATCCTTGGAGGGCTTTTGGCCGGGTACCTGGTGGCATTTTCTGCTACCTACGTGTTGCATCGATGCATCCTTTTGAACATCCCTGCCACCATGACCAACATGATTTTGGCCGGGGGAATGGGAAGCGCCGTGGCACTTCTGATTGCTCCAAGCATCTCGTACTTGCAGCTGATCACTGGCTACATACGTCAAGCTATCCACCTGTGCATGAGTGGAACGATCCAGGGAGTTGGAGGTGTCATTGGTGCACTGTTCCTGGGTGCTCCATTGGTTTAAAGATGTTTCAACCTGTTTCAAGCGCTTTCGTTTTCCATCTTGCCTGGGATGATTCCAATTGACCACTATGTCACTATGTTTGATTCTTTTCTTGGAGGGGATGGCTTAGAACCTTCCCATACCTTCGGCCAGGTTCTGTTGGGGCAGCAAATATGGCTACTACCATTCCATTTGCTTACCTTTGATCTTGGTAGAGATGGAACTGGGCGAAGCTGCTCTTTGTGGATCCATTGATGAAGCGACCTTGGTGTGCGTTTCTGCTGGCATTTGTTTGGCCAATTTGATCGTGACGCCCAGCTTTGAGGACCAGGGGAAGGAAGAAACCCTTCAGTTGCTGGGCTGGAGACTCCCCTTGCGGAGGCCTGTAGAAAGTACAGCATATTACATACACATTTAGACACCTGTTATAGAGATATTTCTTGGGTGGGCCCGAACCTGCACATTCCCAGGTTGAGTCGCAGAGGTCTCTGCATCAACCTTTTGTTTGGCGACTTCATTGAGGTTGCCTATCCATTTATGGAGAAGAGTTTGCTTGTGAACCTGGCTGGTTATGTGGCCAGTGGCCTTTCAGTTGAGCTGCTGACCGGAAATTCGGAAGACGTCTTGAGCAGTGCTTACTTGCCCTTGCCCGCGGCAATCCTCTTGGCGCGGGATCCGCTGAGAATTTCCCGGGCGTATTTTGCAGCTTTCTCGGTGAGCTTCGCAGGAGCGTTGCTCAACAACTTTCTTTCGACGACGGCCAGAGATGCCTCACCATGCTCACCTGTGAAGAAAGATGAATGAAGTCCTGCCCGGCTGTGCAAAGTTCACAGCAGCTCTGCACGAAACTGCGAGTTGACCACATGCGCAGAAAACTCAGGGAATACCGTTGAGTTCATCCTTCACATTTGTTTCCCAATGGTTACCCAACCTTCAGCCATCTTCAGCCTCTTACTTCAACCTTCAGTTCTAAATCCCATCAGTTGCACGTAGACCCATTTTGATCATTTTGTTGTGGTATGTTGTGGTATCATCTTGAGGGTTGAAAACCATCATAATAATTACATATAATTACCGATTTATTGGAGGACCCTACGGTGTAGAAGGTCAATGGGCTACGAAAAAGGGGATATAATATTGATATAATATGATATAATACCTCCGAAATTTAGGGCTTCAAACATGGTTAACTATGGTTAACCGTAGCTCTAGGCACCTGAAGTGGCCCTTTGAGATCTATATAGAACCTATATATAACTTATATATAACCTATATAACTTGTCTTCGGATCATGGATCCTGAGGTGGCACTCCCCTGCACGCCCTCTGTGCGCAGCACTTGCAGCCGGGGGCCGCCTCAGTGGTGCGGCTGCTGTGTCGCATGCGGGTGCCGCTTCAGTTGCAGGGGGCTGTACATGAGCAGTGTTCAAAAGCCTTGTTGGTTGATGATTAGTTCGGGGAATATACTACCCAATATATTGAGAGAGAGAGAGATATATGATATATATGAGAGAGAGAGATAATTATATATATATATATATATATATTGGGGATTAATTATAATCCAATAGGGAATCTCTATTAACCAACCAGTATAATGGAATAACAGAGGGGTTTTGAACACTGCTCACATGGGAAGAAAGAGCATGAATCAACCATAAAAATCGAAACCTTCAAGAATCAATGGGTGTAGAAGGAAATTCTGAGTTTCAAGGTGATTTTAAGTTCATCAGTGTGGGAGTTGGGCCATCTGACTTCGGGCTTGTCAAACTTGAGTGTAAACAATCAAACAATTTAAGTGGGAATAATTAGATAAAAACTTGCGGGATAAGTTCCTTCACACCAGAGTTCTTGCGAGATGGGCTGACATTATGGTGGGATGGACATTTATTCTCCTTCATTATTGAGGATCATTTGGAAATACTTGGAAAGTCTGAGAAACGTTCACATAAATTGTGCATTGCTATGGTGTGTAATGCGTTAATTTCAACCTCAGATTCTTGGGAATCCACTATACTATACATTGTCAACCCCGCATTTTGAATCATGTTTGTCGGTGAAGCATTGCTATCTCAGAAATCCCTAAGGTGGACATGTCGTTTACACACAAAATCTGGAATTTCAGCAGTAGACGTAGAGATTTCGTCCAGGAAGACATGCAGTGGATGAAAAACTAAATTGGCCTGTAGTTCAAGTCATTTCTTACCACAACTAGATCACTTTCATCGAACAAACCTGCTAAAACCATCTAACACCCATGGCACACTCCGGTAATCAAGCGCGGCTTGCTGTAGAATCCACCATTCAAAGATGATTTTCCCAGCCATGTTTGATTCCCAGAGGGCATGTGGTTAAACAATGTTAAATATCCCATTCCTTTTTCACCCATGGTTAACCCAATATGAACATATGGTTTAACCATTATCAACTAGAATGAATTAAACATGAACCCAGGTTATCCCACCCTCTTTTCGCAGATAGGACCTTCCAATCCCCCGGGCCAGGCTGATGTCAACGCAGGCGACAGTGAGGGAGACTCGCCATTGGCCCATGCGCGTGCCTTGATGCATTGAGATGAAATCCAGCAGTGTTGGGTTTTTTAAAGCTGACAGGGCTGGGGATATGTTTTCTTTTTAATTGTGTGTTGATTGTTGATATTCCTGCCTTTAACAATTTTCAATGCAAATTGTACATGTTTATTGATATACTTGTTCATGCAACCATTTATATATTTCATGTTCTTAAAAACACAATTTATTATTATTATTAGTATTATTGTATATTTATAGGCATATAATATATTATATAGTGCATATGTATATAAACGTAGATGTGTGTATCACATACACGCCTGGTTCACCAATGTTAAATATTGTTTCTTACTTAACCATGCCAGAGGTTCAACCATCATTCCCTCAGGATACTTCGGAACAAAGGACGGCAGGGCGGTGGTGAAAGCCTTGGAGTTTGGGATTTGGGGAAACTCGTCATGGGGATACCCCAATAGCTCAATGGGAAATTCAGGTACCTAAAATGGAGCTACTGTACCATATTGTTGGCCATATTTTGGGGGGATATTCCCTTACATAGGCCTTATATAGGCCTTATATATGGTAGGTACCTCCAATTTAGGTTCCTGAAATGGCCATTGAATAGCTGGATGGTTTATTTCATGGAGAATCCACCAATCAATGGATGATAAATGGGGCACCCCCATGGATAGAAAACCTCCATTTGACTTTCAAAAACTGGGAAACATGGTACTTGGACCAACAAACAGGCTTATCAAAATCAGATTCTCATTCTCAAGACTGGGCCGTGAAGCTGGAACATGGGAGTTTAACCCGTGAATATGGGGGTTTTGAGCTGGGCAAACCGGCTGTGGTGATTGGCCAGTGGTTAGTGGTGAAGAGGTTCATTGTTTATATCTACCAGTAGCCATAGAGAAATAAGTATGTCACATCCTCCTAAAGATACGATAGACCATGTTTCCCTTTTTTTTGCGCGATGTCTACGGTTGAATAAGTTTACCTCAGACAGGTTTTCTACAACCCGCTTGTGCACAAAGAGGGGGTGGAAAACATCCAAAAACACCCATCTGAAACCCAGGGTTAATTACCAACTGCAGGGGTTTTTGGAAATTTCCAATTCCGACCAATTCCTCGGGTTTTTGGTATCATCACACTTACCCTCTGGTAAACTAACATAGCTATGGAAAATCACCATTTTTAATGGGAAAATCCACTATAAATGGCCATTTTCAATAGCTATGTTAGTTTACCAGAGGGTACCGATTTCTTACGGCCGACACCATGTCTCCGTGGGATTTATGTAGGAGATCGAACAAGTGCTACGGCAGTATGGCGGGAAGCTGCGCGGACCGTACTATCAGCCCCTTGGACTCGCGGTTAACACCCCTGGGGTGTTGAAAAAGGAAGTGCTACGCTGCTACGAGAATATGGAAAGGATTGGAAAGGGAGATTTATTGAAAATCTATGAAAATCTCGGTTTATCATTGGCTTATCCCATTCATCACTGTGTCAAAAAAACATGTTCCACCCCGACTTACTAAATGGTCCTGAAAGGTGCACACAATAGGTCCAATAGGTTGCTTATTAACCTGTTGGATAAACCAACTTAAAGATTCCCAACTGAGGCACCACCTTGTGCCAATATACCCCCATTGTATATCATCATTTCATCCCGAATTGTCTTGGCGAAACCTACAAATTCATTGTTTAAACATTTTAAACCTCCATTTCTTGTTGCTAAAACTTATTCCTATCCCCCATTCAACACACCCTGCATGGTCCAAATATGTGTAAATATCCTTCGAAAAAACCCATGGTTTCTGGGGGATTCCCATCGCAGGTTCAGCTTCCGCCGGTGAATCCACTCGGTGAATCAGCACCGATCGATTTGACCCACTGCGTTTGAAAAACGTGCTGAAAATGGGGCGTGGGGATGCAAGATGTGGCCATTTACACAAAGTTTGAACATAGATACAGAGACATACAATGATATATATATCATATAATATATAATGTATATATATAATATTTATATTCTGTATGGTTTTCAATTCGGATCATTTCGGGTTCTGAATCTCAGATGGCCCCTTGGCTCTCGCAGGCGGCGCGCAGCCGTGGAGCCGCGCAGCGCTTGGGCTTGGATGACCGGAACTGGCAGTAGGCTCTGGGCATACTCAATTTTAAATGTAAGATATCAATTTTATGGATAATGTCTGATAATGCAACTTTTGATTCCGGAGTTGCTTTTGAGATCTAAGTATCAAGAATGGGCTGCAACCAATAATTAAACAGTGAGTATTGACCAACATTTTTAGAAACGGAACCTTCGATCTTGACGACACTACAGTTGGATTTCAGCTAGGCAAACCGACTTGTGAATTGATGGGCCATTTAGTTTTTGCACAAATGCGCGAACACCGTATCCCTGCTAGAAGTTAACTGCCCTTTTAATTTTGGGGTCAGGGTATCTAACAATTCAATGCACGTCACTTGATACTGAAACCCGTGCAGAAAATGCGGAGAGAGAAAGTACCAAGTCTGGGGAGTTCGGGGGACGGAGATCCGTTGGGGTTCCCAAGGCCATTTCCAAAAATTCTAATCTCCCCAGCATTGGTTGAAAGGAATATTCAATGGCCATTTCAGGAACCTAAATTGGAGGTACCTATCATATATAAGGCCTATTTTTCAGGCCTAAATTTAAATATCCCCCCAAAATATGGTCAACAATATGGTACAGTAGCTCCATTTTAGGTACCTGAATTTCCCATTGAATCTGCAGGAAAGCCCGATGATGTTGATGGGAAATTGGATCGGACATGTCCATTACCCATGGTGGCCATGGTGAGAGTACCATTTGGCATGGCACCTGGGTTAATTTGACATGATTGTCTCACAGCCAGCAGTGCTGCACCTGTGGTGGCTGGGGAAAAAGCGTTTTTTCTCTCCGGTTTAGAGGTTTCAAAATGTTTCAGAGATGTTCTTCTGTGCCATCCTACCTTTCATGATGTTTGCCTAGAAGGCGGAGACCAGATGACCCATCAAAGATCATGGCATGGTGCTGTTCTGTTGGCATGGTGTTTCTTTGAAAGCTGTCCCCTTGTGGCTCAAATCGGCTGTGTTTTTGTCGCTTCTGCCAGGCGCATGACGGAAACAGATGGAACATTTGATTGAAGTGCCACAGTGTTAATGAGTAGTTGAAAAACATGTGGGATGTAGATACGGGATATATGATATATGGATCAAGTTGAGATGAAGTTGATGAACCTCGTCACTTTGTCACAATTCTGGTGGCAATTGATTGGACGTGGTTCAAACTGATCAAGCATCCACCTTTTGAAAATCAGTCCTGACAGGAACCCCTTCTAGTTTGGCCACCGGAGCTGTACTCGGATCAATCAGTGAATCCTCATCAACAACCAAATGGCTGATCGCATCGATATCTTTTTGTCAATCCCACAAGTGGAAGGATGATGATTATGATGATTATGATGATTATGATGATGGTGATGATGATTCCAATTGCAATTGGCATTTTCCAGGGGAGTTAGATTCTCCAAACATCTCCATCCTTGATTGTGCAGGGTGATGCAACGCCGTTCCAGCTCTGGTTCAAGTTTGGGGCAGCCCGGGGGCCCTGAGGCCCCAGTTTCCCCAGCATTTTCTCCATGATTCTCCCCACAATTATCCTCCATAACTGGAAACCACTGGGTTTCCTGAGTAAATTGGCCTTGAGGGATGCTCATCAATCTATTTTCATAGGGATTATGTTGATTTATTTGTGGTTTGGGCTAAATAGATGGATATTCCATGACATGCACGATGTTTATTAATAAGTTTCATATATTACCCATGGCTTTGCATAAATAGATGTATTTTCCCAGGATTCCCATAATCATGGTTTGTAGCAACCCCGAAAAAGATAGAACAGTTGGAGTGGAAAATCATCGAACTACCATCCTGGAAACACTTTTCTATATTTTCGGGGTTGCTACATCTAATTGGAAAAACATGTTCATAAGAAACTGATTGAAACATTTTTTCACGTGATTGACATTTGAACTGTATGTTTATTTCTTATAAATATCTTACAAAAAAATCCTGACTTTGCTCTTTTTCATTATCAGTTACAATAAGTCATCCCCAACCTTGGATAGGATTTTTTGCTCCGCCGTCGTTCTTTTCTATGGAAAATAACCGCAAGCGGCAAACATGTTTTTGTGGACTACCCAAGAATGACCATGTAGTTATATATCTCATATTTGTTATGTATTTTCATATATTTGCATATATTTTCATTCATTTTCATACATGTTCATATATTTTCGTATATTTTCGTACTATATGGTTTCATACATTTTCATATATCTTCCCTGACTTATGATAGTTTACTGGAGGGTATTAACCATTACTAATCACCGTCTAATCACTATTAATCACTAACCACTATGAAAACCGTAACCATTAACCATGGATTGTGGATGATTTCTGGAGGGTTAATAGTAACGGAGATTAACCATGGACAGTATCATTAACCAGAAACAGGAATAATAGGAACCATAGTTAGCCAATAAACATTATTATTATTATTCACTATTGGCCATTAACCATAATTATTACTATTCACCAGTACTAATCACTATTAACCATGGTCATAACCATTACTAATCACTATTAACCACTATTAATCACTATTTTCCATCAGCACTAGCCATACCAAATCCCATATTATTAACCACTATTAATCAGTATGAAAACCGTAACCATTACTCATTACTAAACATGGATTCTGGATGATTCCGGAGGTAAATTAAAAATAGCCACTATTGATCACTACTAACCACTCTGAACACCGTTCTTAACCATTAACCATAGTGAATTACTGTTACTATTAACCATAGTGAATTACTATTAACCATTATTTTCAACCATTCACTATTGACCATTATGAATCACTAGTCGCTATTAAACCATTATTGTTAATACATTAACCATTCCATTAATAGTGAATTACTATTAACCATTACTATTAACAAAACCATTACCATTAACCATTATTAACCATAACCACTATTGATCACTATTATTATTACTATTATTGATTACTATTAACCATTATTACTATTGCCATGAACCATAGTAAATGAATAATTGATACTATTAACCATAAAGATAAGATTGATTACTATTGCCATTAACCATAGTAAATACCCTCTGGTAAACTAACGTAACTATGGAAAATCACCATTATTAATGGGTCAATCCACTATAAATGGCCATTTTCAATAGCTATTTTGACATAACCAGAGGGTATGGTTACTATGTTTCATCGAAATTTGATGGGACCATTCGAGGCCCCGGAGGCGGAAGGTGAGTTTGACCTTGCGCACGGACCCGGAGGGCTTCGCACGAGGCGAAACAACGCGGGGGACGTCGTTTTGGGCCGAAGAAAACGGTGATTTTCACGGGATTTTATGTAATGGATACGACTGGACAATGGTGGACAATGATGTTGAAAGTGCCTATTTTACTGGTGATTTAGTGATATTTTATGATGGTTAATGGGATTCAATGGTGATTTAATGGGATTCATTGGGGTTTTATGGTGGTTTAATGGGATTTCACCAACAGTGAGGAATGTAACTTACTTAACAGTTTGTGAATTGGCATGGCTTTAAATTTAGTTTGATGATTTACATGATGATATGATGATTTAGCTATTAATTAACTGTTTTAATGGTGATTTTAGCGAACTGTGATTCATCACCAGAAGGTGTAAACTCGCGCATTTTCATCATTTTTCCATATTACCCTCTGGTGAACTAACATAGCAATGGAAAATGGCCATTTATAGTGGATTTTCCCATTAAAAATGGTGGATCTTTCCATTGCTTTTTGTATGTTCACCAGAGGGTAAACCGGCTGGATTCATCAGCATTGACATCGTCATTTTTGGAGGAACATCCCTGGAATCGGATGGTTATCCCTGTTATAAGTGGAATAACCTTAGTGAACTTACGATCACCAGGGTTACGAATGATGCCATAGCCCTACTAAATGGGAAACTAGTTGGAGTTAGATATAACTATATATTATATATATTGTATATATTCACTGAAAACTCACATTGAGTTTTCCAGCCATATGATAGTTGATAACTATATATAGTTCTAGCCCATGTATACACGGATTAACCCGCAAATCGGGGACTTGCTCAAGGCAATTGACCACATCCTCCATCATCTTCCATCCAATGCCGCAACAAAAAAAACACACCCCTATTCATCCTGTCCTATGGTCCCGAATACGTGTTTTAACTTTTCTTGGATGTTTCATATTGGGGGGAATGGATTGCCACAAGACATGGTAATTTACGAATGAGGGGATTGCGGAAATGATGCAGATGGAAATGGTGATGTTAACAGCAAAAAGATCTTGATCTCAGCAACAAACATGGAGATTGAAGGTCAAAAAGTCAATGATTTTGGCATGTTTTGGCTTACTGCAGGGCCGAAAGTACTTACCATAACAGCCATAACATGATGACTTGGGGGTCCCAAATCCAATTTTTGACATACCTACAACATCCTACAGCCATATATCATATATATATATACACATACATATGCGTGTCAACAACAAAAAATGGGAATAATAATGATATGATATAATAGCAATAATAATAATAATGAACAATAATAATAAGAATAATATATATATATATATGATATTGTCCAACATACATAATACACATGATGCTACTCGCTATTGTCATGTTTTTTTCCAACATCTTCTGTCGCACTATTTCCTCGATCAAAGGCTGGGACGTCCACCCAGTGGCTCGCACCGGTTCACGCTACAGCATCGGGAAGGAAGGCCTGGTGGAGTGGTTTGGTGAGTTCAAGGCTGCAACCCTATGTGTTTTATGAGATGTTCTTCACAGTCTTTTTTTTTTAAATCTATGTTCAAATGTATATTTATTTTATATAGGTATGCATACATATGTATATGCATCTTTTTAAGACAGTGCCCAAATTAGTAGAAGTAGTATATAACGGTTTCTTCTTTTATTCAAAGACTGAAACATGGAGAAGCATCTGCCTCTCCCAGAGTTGGTTGAGGGAAGATTGTTTCTGAAGGAAATCTATCTAGATGGTTAAGATGGGATAGTAGATGATTAATATGGTACAGATGGTTATGCAGCTGGTTAATGTGGTACAAACTCATGGCTAGATGCTTAAACATGCTACAAACTCATTGTTTTCTTGCCAAATGTGGAATAAATGCCGGGCACATCGTCTTCCAATCGCCCAGCCTACGCTGATGGCGTGCGCAAGAGCTGGGTGGACAAAGTGGTGAAGGACTGGGGTGCCGGGGAGTGCGCCACCCCAGTGGTACCGGAAATTTTGCAGGAAACATATATGATAATTATAATATATTATAATGGCAGACTATATAATACAACTCGGTAGTAATGGGATTTATGTAATGGATATTGGAAAATGGTCCCTGAAACCAATCCAATAAGTCGCAAAAACCCAACAAAAATCCACCTTCGAAGTAATATGTTTCTGGAGTCTTGAATCTGTTCATAGATAGGGATCTGTGATGTACTCTTTGGTCAGTTAACATAGCGAATATCGGCATTTGAAACAGGTAAATCATCTATAAATGGAACCTAAAATCCATAGCTATGTTAGATTACCAGAGGGTATGTTCCCCATATTTTTGTTGAAATCTCCAGAAAACTCACCATGAAAAATCCCAGCAATATCACCAGTTTCAGCCACCACTTAAGCACAAACGCGCCACCGTGTTCCAAGCCATGAAATCCCAGCAATATCCCATGAAATCACCCAGTTGTACTATATATATATGGGCTGCCATGAAATATCCCATCATATAAATTCCACAAAACCATTATTTTTTCCGTTATATCCTTTGATTTGTTATATCCCAGTTATAATATATCATCCCAGTTGGGATATATTGGTATGGGATATAGTGGAATATAATGGGATCCCATATTGCTAATTCTGTGATAATATATCATCCCAGTTATACCCATTATATCCCATTATGAACCCGGGCTGCCAGGAGAAGAACTGGGTGCCAGGCCCTGGCGCCCACGCGACGGAACGGAGCTTCGTGTCGCCCGATCAGAACGAGTTTGATGCCAAGAAGTGCGTCGAGGAGCCGGGCGCCGGGAGACATGGAGACCGGGGAAGTTCGGGGATGTTATAGGATTTATAGGGGAGATTTATGGATTGCATGGATTTATGGAGATTTATGGATTTCGAAGGGAAAGGTAATCCGAATATACCCTCTGGTATCCTCTGGCAATCAGACATGGCATTGGGAAATCCCCAAAGTAAAAGATGTAAAAGGAAGTGTTGATGGAACATTTGGGAAAATCATCTAGAATGTGGGAGTTAATAGATTAGTATTCTGTTGGTGGGTTCAAATGTTTCTTTCATACATTTTCATACAAAAGGGATGATTGGCTGAGATTAGCAACATTCCTCGGATGGGTTAAAATCACCAACCAGTGTTTAGGTAGTAAAAAATTGTTTATTTTACTTTCGTAAGGCCATTGTTAGCACATGGAGATGTAAGGAGATGTGCTAACAATGGCCTGAACAATACGATTTCTTGAAGCTTAAGATAGGTTGAACATGCCGTAATATAATATTGAAATTATTTAATTCTACAGTACAACTCAGGACTATGTGTGTTAACGACTGACTACCAGAGATGTCTTTTAATTGAGGGGTGGTCCGCAAAATGGCGCCAAAGCGACACTTTTTTTTTGCACTGGACATCATTCGCAAAGCCTGTTTTCCTATAGTCTTCCTCTCACCCACTGGTAGAATTGAACAGGATTCGGGTGTTGATCCATCACACATTGGGATTTTCCATGAAATAACTGAAAACATGTACCAATAACATCCAATAACATCCAATAACCAAGATCAAATGGCATTCAATATTTGCAGCCTTCTTTATGGTCTTAGCCTATGAAAGGTGGCTAATTTGACACTTCACCATGGATGGTCCAAACCCCCATGTTTTCCCTATTGAAAAACCACCCATTTCGCAGCCACTTCTCCGAGATTTCCCAGCATTTGCGTCCCGACTATTCCTTTGGCAAAGCCATTTGGGAACCTGCGCTCAAGGAGGTGGCAGGGTCGCCTCGGCACAGAGTTTCCAGTTGGATCATAGGGGAGGGCAAGTGGCGAAGTGCAATCGTTTTTTACAAATCAAATTTGTGAAGAAATAAGTAATGAGATGTAATGAGTAATATAAAACATATTGAAACATTATAAAACTCACTTATTTAAAATCGTGTGTACAAATTTGTTCGTAGTCATAGGTTATTTGATGTTATTTGTTGGTGAACACATGAATGAGATACCTCCAAGAGACTTCTCAATCAGGGTTAACCCGAGTCGATTGAGCCGACGACTCTGACGACCCCAGGGCAGTATGAAGTTGCAACGGAACTCCTTCAGACCTTTGGATGCAGCCAAATCGGTCAGTGGCGAGGTTGGGCTATGCAGATACAGTACATATCATCATCTCATGTATCCAAAGCAGAACTGGGATACTTTCCAGGAGATGAGAGCCAACTGCGAGCCACAAAAATATCATTGATTCTTGCTGCTCAGAAGTGCATAATTGTTGACTAATATACGTCATCTTATTGGATATCATTTATATCATTGGCTAATAATTATGATCAATGATGATGATCAATGATGATGATCAATGATGATGATGATGATGATCAATGATGATGATGATGATGATGATGATGATGATGCTGATGCTGATGATGCTGATGATATATATATATATAATATGACCATAATTGTTAGACCTCCATCTTTGATCATTTTTGGAGGTCTCATGACGACCGCTGGGACCGGATTTTTGCCCTGCAACCGAGGACATCCCAAGTTCGAGCCATGGTTCAATCCCGGCCCAGGACGATGAATCTGCCACAGTTGCCACCGGTGGAACTTCCCAATTTCGGATGGACAGGAAAAGGATCGCAGCGAATTGGTACCCTCTGGTACTTTAACATAGCTATGGAAAGATCCACCATTTTTAATGGGAAAATGCACTATAAATTGCCATTTTCAATAGCTATGTTAGTTTACCAGAGGGTATCAACATAGCAACATAGCTGAATTTATCCATGGAAACAATTATATAGTTTTTTTATCCATGGAAAATTGTGTATCAACATAGCACAGAATCACTTTTCCATCTGGTGGCCAAGCCAATTCTGACAAGGTACCTTTTTTGGTCAAAAAACGGGGGTAGGATTGATCATCGGCAGTAAGAAAGCCTCTACTTGCATTGATGTTGATGTTCATTACCGATAGCAACCCGCAGTTGTGCAGGTTTATAAGGGTCTTCAATCAATGGTCAGATTTGGGGTTTATGGTTCGGCTTGCCAAAAGGTATAAAGGTGGTGGCTACCACCATCTACCACCTCATGGCTTGAGGCTTTCCAATTGGACACCCATGGCTTTTACGATCCAAATCTTCATAATTCATTCATAATTTCATATAATTCTCCATGGCATTTCCCTCCAGTCCCGGAAAAAAAAACCGCCAGGAGCCCATACTCAGTTCACGGTCTTCAACGGAAGGAGAGCTGGCCTCGAATGGCCTCGATACATCCGCTGATGGCGTGTCCCAGAAGGAAGGAATATTTAATGAACATCACCCCAGCTCATGACCTAATCGGCAAAATACATAGTATATAACTGTATCAATAGTGTATAATAATTTGTATAGTAGTAATAGATGGTTATATGATATTATAGTTCAGCCTTATAGTCGCATCCAGCTCCGGCGGCGTTTTTGTTTGTGGCAACTCCACAAACTGCCCCGGCACCTCCACCAATGCAGGAAAGAAGCCGGCAAGCTGCCAACTTGAGAGCAGCCAGTGCCACAAAGCGGGCGTTTTTTTTTTTTTGCAGGCGATTTTTTCCGGGTTGGGAGTCTCAAATTTGCCAACTGGCTCAGCAATTCAGACCTATATGCATCCAATGCTAAGAAATGCTACGAATCACCAACCATATGCTTCAGTTAAATTTTCGAGAAACAAATCTTCGACATTTTCATACATTTTCAAGATCTCAGTGGCCAAACGGCAAATTCTTTGAGGCGCGCTTGTTTGGCACCCGCAGCCTGCATCGCGTCATGTTGCGTCAGCTCCCGTCGCCTGAGGCGCACGGTCCAGGTCAAAGTGTCTGGCAGTCGGCTGATATCGGCTTGGTCGACCCATGTCGACCCAATGCTTTGGAAAGTGCAAGAAAAAAAGGAGAAATGGAGAACACATACATAAAAATAAGATAAAATAATTAAGAGAGAATTCAAAAATAAGTCAAAAGACAGAGAAATCAGAGAAGCGTCGGAGTTTGATTTTTGGTTGCTTTTCAGTAGTGTGCGTTTCGGAGTTTTAGCTGGATACCTTCGCGCCGGGGCATCCGGGGCATCCGGGGCTCGCTTCGGAGACGTCTCGAAACCATGGCGGCCATGGCGGGCTATCCTGCAGATGTGCCCGAGGTGGGAACGGTGGGACAGTCCAAGAGGCCTGGGCGTTTGCCGCCGGCGCCAGGCTGTAGATGTAGCAGTCCTGGACGGTCTTCGGAGTATGCGACTCCGAAAACGACCCATCAATGCGCCCAAGGAGGACTTAACTGCACTAAACTAATCTCTGCTCCAAATTTGGATGGTTTTCAATCCCCAAAATGGCTCAAATCTTGAGTTGTTTGGGTCCTATTTCTTTTTGGTCGGTGCACGAAGTTGATTTTGAACCTAGAAAGGGGGTGGGGTCCATTTTTTTGTTGAAGGGGTTGTCCACTATGTCAAAATGCCAGAGCGAACAAACAGGGGTCTCACATTTCCCGTCAGAATGGGCAAACCCAGGGTGTTATACAACGTTATACAGCAGTTATCAGCAGTTACTTATAGTTGAATCATAGCTTGTACCATGTTGTACACTTATACAGTTATATAATGTTATATATATATTTAATATTAGTTATATATATATACATATATTATATACATATAATGTTATATACATTCATACTATGTTACACTATGTTGTGCTTATATTGCACACTTATAATTTATAATAGCCATTTGTTGTACCATTTGTTGCAACTGGTCCACTGGGTCCAGGATGAGGTCCAGCTACAGATCAATTGCGCACCTGGGACACCTGGGACACCTGGGACGGAAGAGTTTTTCTCGACCAAAAATAGGTATAGTCTATGAATAAATATGGGTATGGGTCAATACCTATAGATACATTTTTAGTGGGATGAACATCCATAAATCCCAGCTATGACTTGGGGTTCACTAGGTACCAGGGTTTTGACCCATCCCCATATTAATAATGAGTTAATAGTCATAAAAATTGATGGTCTATCAGCCTATCAGCCCAGAGGAACCTCTATTGTGTATTATATAATTAAATTGATAGTAATTATTATCAACTGTGAATCCCATTATTTTCCCATAGCACTACTGTATATACATAGTATATCATCATAATTTGTTAGTAGTCCATCGACTGTTAATAGTATGACATTTTGGTTTAATAATGGGATAATGGTTAGAACATTAACTGTTGATAATACCGATTAATATATTTATTTAAGCATAATGTTATTAATATTGGCCAATAATGGGCTTCACCTTGGCTAATGATAACCTTATATCTGGTTTCCATCAAAGATAGGTATTTGACCATCTAAAATATAGGATTTAAACATCTAAAATGCGGGATAAAATAGGATACAATAGATAGGCATGCAATCTATGATTTACTGGTTGGTGGCTTCATATACCTATTGTTTTCAACTGTACATGATTGGTTGAGATGACTCACATTTTTGGGATAGGTTAAAACCACCAACCAGGTAGGGGTAACCCTTCTGCCCATTTTTTGAAGGCTGATATTTTTGTCAACCAGGACAGGTATTTTCTTGAATTGGTTGAAATTGCCAATCAGTCAGCGCGTGGTTAAATGCATGTTTTCAAGGATGGCAGGTTCGCTTCCAACCCCCATCCCTTGTTCGGTTGATGGATGACGAGGTTCTTTTAGATCCTTTGGGGACATCATGGGTCTATCCAGGTGACGCCCTACAGTCAGCCATCGTTATCTAAGTTACAACTTTAGTCTAACTAAGGTTTATTAAGTGGATATATATATATGTGTGAATGGATATTCTAACTACTGTAAGGTTTATGAAGTCACACACACACAAATTTTTGATATATACACATCTTAATGACAATATATCCACAGTCAGTGGGGTTTACAAGCCAACAAGCACAGCGAGGCCCCGCTTCCAAGGTGGGCATCTGTGGCTCCGATATGGCCTACTGGTCCAAGGGCATGGCTGGCGGCTTCGTTCCCCTGGACTTCAGTCACGGGGATGCACGTTTTGCGGGGCATCCCGGGGCCTCTGGTAGACTAACATAGCTATTGAACATCACCATTTTGGTTATATATATATACAATTACTATATGCAAATCAAGTATACATGGCCACTTTCCGTAGTTATGTTACATTACCGGAGAGTAGCCGTTTTCTTGATGGGGGCAATAATCCATGAAATGAGACTTCGATATGTGTTGACTTGTCTGTTATTTTTGGTTTGAGGGGCCAATTGAGAGTCAACCAAATGGGTAAACCAAATCAAAAATCTGATAGGGGTACGGTATACCAGGCCATTTTTACCAACCCAGTGGGCAAACCAGATAAACACAAATTAATCATTGGCACAGTGTATAGTGACCCCCAAAAAGACAAACACATATTTCCAGGATGTTGGTTGGTTGCTTCGATGCTTTTTCCGCGAAAAAACTTCCAGGTGTCCAACTTTTCGATCTTTTTTTTGGGTTGCCATCCCTAAGAATAACCATTGGATTTTTCGTCCCCCATCCCCAACGGCCTTCGAGGTGAGGAGGGCCTCAACCAGGGCTACTGCGGTCAGATGGGCCACGAATGCTCCGGCACCGTCAAGGCCGTGGGAGGCAAGGTGAGCCACCTGCAGGTGGGCGATCGAGTAGCCATGGAACCTGGGGTGCCATGTGACGTGGCATGAAGAGTCATGAAGGGAAGCATGGCGCGGAAGCTGGTGGGGTGAGAGATTCTGCACACACACATAATATATACTGTATAATACTGTATATATACATATATATATATATATCATATATATCATATATATATACATATATATATATGTATAATTATATGTATAGTAATGATTAGTAATGTGTATATCTAGTAATATCGATCTATATTATCACTATACATGTATATATATATATATTTATATCAAATCCAACATTACATGAAAATAAATGTGTAAAGCATATGATTTGTAGGTTGAGTCGTCATCACATACTGTGTGCGTATGGAGGATTATCTAGGTGCGCTGCAAACCGGATTTCTCTGATGAATCAGATGTCTCGAAGGCAAGATGCAAATCCCAAGTGGGTTGAAACCACCAAGGATGGCCTCAGAATTTCTAAACTGGATGCCCTCTGGTTTTCAAAGATGGCTAGCTGGGAAATTTCTGGAGCTAAATGGAAGTTTCAATGGGAAAATCACCCACGGGGTTTTCCAGTGCCATGTGCACCGGAGGGAGGCTGTTTATTTTGCACACGGATTACTGTGGCATTCATTGTGGTCCAATTATGAGAACCGTAGCTTCCAAAATCTGACTTTTCTGAAGTCACATCCGACTCAAGAAGCAGGTAGCACTCCTGGTCAGTGAGCTGTTTGGTTCCTCTATTCCTGACCGTTATGCTTGCTGAGCTCTACCTTGGTCAAACCCTAAAGACTCCTAAAACCCTCTTGTTGATAGAATCCTCACCACCGTGTGATGAGCCCCACTACTCCAATCACCATGCCGCTACTTCAATCACAATGACATTTTGTCTTCAAAAGACCATCCAATTTCCAGTTGCTATGGCTAATCATAGCACATAGATGCACATAGTACCAATCCCTGGGCCCACCAGCTGATCCGCCGAAAAAAATCCCAGGCTCTGACTGCAAGTTGTGTCGCAATGGTCGCTACAACTTGTGCCCGCGCATGCGCTTCATCGGCTCAGCCGTGAATCGAGTCCCGGGAGCGCTCTGTCGGAAGTTCAACCACAAGGCGCCGCGGCGCCCGAAAAATCGGAACAGCTCCGAAGCCTTGGACATCAGTGAAGGAGATTAAGCTGACATAAGCTGACAATGTGGTGATGTTAACTGGTAATTTTTTACGAATTATTCTGAACATGTACCTCTGGCATGGAGATAGAAGGATGGAGACCTTACAGAATAAACATACAGAGATGGACACATAATTACACAAACAGCCACATGTATGATCATATATGTATGTGTACATATTCTTGTATACAAGCCAAGGCCGCAGGGTCAAAGAGCACAAGCCACTTGTACCTCTCAGGCCTCCTACTGCTACAAGCTTCCGCCCAATGTCAGTCTGCAAGAGGGGGCCATGCAACTCAGCGATGCATGGGCCTGGGTCACCTGGGTCGCCTGGGCCGCCTGGGCCCAGTCGCTTTTGCCATGATTTTCTATAAATCAGGAATGAATAAGCCACTGGTTGGTGGTTTGGAACATGAATTTCATTTTTCCATATATTCGGAAGAATCATCCCAACTGACTAATATTTTTCAGAGGGATTGACACCACCAACCAGGCCAGATAATAATTAGGTTAATAACATTTAATAACCAGCCATTAGCAAGACTTAGCCACAGCGATGTGCCATAAACAATAGCAAAACTATAGCCATCAATTAGCCACCAATCAGCCAAAATTCTGAACTTTTATGCGGGAATATCTCATAGCACCAGAATCGGCTCGTTGCGCTATGTTGCGCTTCGGGTGACCCAAAAATGCCAAGGTTGGAGCCTCTCTGTGTTTCCCTACAGGGCGTGACGCGTGCAAAGGCTGGTGCACATGGGTAAATTTGGTCAATGTTGATTCTTGGATGTACCACATCCAAGCATACTGTTTAACGGTTAGTGAATAGGTTAATAAACCGCATGGAGGGCGCAGACAAAATAACCCCATTAACCACTTAACTATCATTGGCTTGTGTGACAGTTGTTAGGCATTCCGTGAACACCGTGTTCCTCGAACGCAAGCTCCCCCAAAAAGATAAAAGATCGTCTCAAATCCATTTGGGTGTGCCTGAAAATCGGATACCCAGAAATGGCAACTTTAATAAATATCGGTAAATAGGTAATGTGATGATAATCCATTGGGTTTTGGGGTGCCCTATTTTAAGACAAACCCATTTAATAATTCCAATCAATCTCATTAAAAATACCCTTAAATACACAAACAATTCCCATTGCTTTAGTAGATTTTAGACGTTTTTTCTTGAACTCACCATCCCTTTTTCGGGCGCCAGGTGGGCTGTGGGCACCACGTCTTCGTGAGCGGCGCGGGGCCCATTGGCCTCATGACGGCCATGTGTGCCAAAGCGGCAGGCGCAGCCACGGTGACCATCACTGAAACGAGACGAAATGTGGGCAGTGGGTAGTTCCAGCTGGTTTCTGAGGGAAATATGGATATGGTGGTTTTTCATGATGATTTCACGGGTTTTTCTGGGGCACAAAATGGGGATTTAACAAAAAGCAACAAAATAGGGACACTTTTTCACATGGAAACTAGGTACCAAGTGGATGAAGCGAAAAGCTGCAGGATACTTTTACACTTATCATTCTTTGTCCATGTTTGGGGGTGGTAGACAGTAATATGATCAGATGGGAGTCCTCAATTTTTGGTGGGCTCAGCAGCTATTTTGGCTAGTAAGAATGCATGATCCATGTGGGGGCAGAGTAATGTCGCAGGGGCTTGACTCGCCCAAAATCAAAGTATGCATCATTTTGAAGGAAAGATGAGAGTTCAACCAGCAAACACAAGGGGTTGAGCAAGACAGGGGAATTAATTACTGCAAGCAGTGAAGAATAGGTTCCAGTCTGTACAGAGGGTCCAGTTTAAAGATCCGATGACAGTGGACAGTTGCATTTTTTTGGGGTATGCTTCACAGTTGAAAAGAATAGGACTGGTTTTCTGGGTGTTCAACCTGTGCTAAGCACATGCTGGTGGTAAATGGATGTCAACTGTAGAGGATGCAAGCGGATGCAAGCGGATAATTCATCGCCACTTAATTCTCGACATTCTGAAACTCTCTTGCGCGTTTCAATCTGTTTCAAGATAAATTGGTGGTGACATTTCGTGTAAACTCAATCCCAAATTGGTGTTGGACCAGGTGCAGGGTTGGTGCTACCAATGGTTCTCTCAGGACATGGTCGAATCAAAACTGGAAAAAGCGAAGGAGATAGGCACTGCAGAGTTTGGGTATGTTCGAAAAATCCTTTTGCTGAGCTGAATTGTTGGGTGACATCTCACATTTTTTGCCAGCGAATTCACAATTTTTGTTGGTGAAATCACTCTTTTGGTTGCCCAAACTGCGGCATCATGCGGCAGACCCAGCCGCGAGGTCGGGAGCGGAAAAATTGCGCCAGGTGCAGATTTCACCCTCAAAGCGGACACACCCAACTTGCACGAAGCCTTAGAAACCCAGCTTATTCTGGAGATGATGTGGTTGGTTTTTCAATGTTTTGCACGTTGGGAAACCCGTCCCTGCGACTGCGGAATCCAAACATGAAAGATTGTACTTTAAGCTTTAGTGATCTTTAGTGCTTGCACATCTATGTGCAGCTCTCTCATGTTTTCTTTTTGGAAGACATATGGAACACGTACATATGCTGCATTATTTACAGCAATTGTCAGATAACATGTCTTCTATACATATATAACTACACATTTAGTTTCCACATTGTCCGCATATTTTCCCGACGTTTTCCTACCTCTTTGTTTCCAGCGGCCCCAAATCGCTTAGACTTCAACTTGGAATTGCTTAAAGTGTTTTTCTTTCCCATGAGTAATTCCATCAAAAAGTGGGGAACCGGGATCATTCATCAAAAACTGGGGAATTGGAATCATTCCTTAGAACTTTCAAGGCATTTGTTTCCTATTTCTTTTAATGTTTTTCGACTTTTTCAATGTTTTTCCTATCTTTTCCACCGAAAAATCCCGAAAGGAAGCCTTCATCGGCGAGAAGTTCGACATGAGCTTCGAGTGCTGCGGGGTCCCTGCCGCCTTAAACAGCTGCATCGAGGTCACAGTCCCCGGGGGCACCGTTTGTGTCGTGGCCAACATGCCGAAGCAGGTGCCTTTGGATTTGCAGGTGGCCTGCAGACACGAGGTGCATCTGGATGGGGATCTATGGAGATTGTGGTGTGCTGAAGAATTGTGGTACTCTAAAGGATGGGGAAAGTTGGGGGTTTGGACTAAGTTGAGAGATGCTGAAGAGTAACATATTCTATGTGGGGGGATGTTGATGGGTGCAAAGGTGGGGAGAAAGACTTCCCAGACTCTCTCAGGCAGGGGTTTCAGAATGCCAAGAATTTACGCCCGCTCCTGAAAAGTCCAGAAACCATTTGAGGTCCCATGGGATTTCTCCAATAAAATCATCTAAAATCAGAATCAGACCACTCCCGCTGCTTTTTAAGGTGGACATCATCGGTGTCTATCGTTACTGCAACTTGTATCCGAGGGCTTTGGCCATGGTGGCGAGTGGAAAGATCAATTTGAAACCATTGATCTCCAAAACTTTCCAGCTGGAGGTGTCCGACTGTCCGAGCCAGGGTGGATTTGCCAGATCGACGCCCCGATTGTGATACAATTTCTTGTGGTCCATCTCTGGTAAACTAAGAATCTGCGAAAATCACCATTATTTGTATTTAAGTACTATGTAAATCAACATAAATCAACTACAAATGGCAATTTTCAATAATTAGCTATGTAAAAATTACCAGAGGGTAACCATATCTTTTGATGGTTTGCCAGGACGTGCAGAACGCCTTCGAACATTTCGCTTCGGGTGAGCCGATCAAGGTGCTCATCCAACCCAACCCACCTGAGCAGATGGTCTGAGAATGTCTGAGAGTCGTGTTGGCGGCCGGCGGATGGTAGGAGCTTTCAGGAGGGTCAAACGTTAATGCAGATAGTGAAGTTCGAACCTCAGTGGTGCGAAACAAAAGGTGGGAGGCCATATCGGTAAAGATCCTGGCCGGTAAAGTCCTAATTCGGTGAGTGAAGTGCAGGGAAATACTGGGAGGATGCACATGCGTATGTAGACCATGTAGATATGGGAAGGATGTAGCGATTGTAGGTGACTGTCAAAATGAGTATTATAGTGTCACATAGCCAATACCCTGGAATCCCCCTTGTTTTCACACCAAAATAGTTTGTAGTTATGGATGTTCATTTGCATATCATATCTCAATGTGCCAAAACATCCACAATATTGGGAATTCCAGATTTTTTTCCTCAGCATGAACTGGCAAACATGTCTTCGGCAGTGTTGAGGGACCAAAGGGCGGTTGCGGCTAGAGCTTTGGCACCGACAGGGGGCAGAAATTTCAAGTACCTGGACCAGTTGCAGAGGCGACTTTTTTTTGGGAGCCAGCTACTGTATACTGTGAATTCAAGTTGAATGCCTTTGCCAGGTACCCCTAGTATGGATCATCCTCATTTTCCCACATTTTCCCACACTAAAGTGGCAATTTCAGCAGGGGTATACGGTGCCAGTTTCAGACACAGCCATAGATCTCAGCTTGTGCCCAGCCAGCCTGATCCGCAATGGCACTGCTGGCCTCCTTCCACGGTGAGCGCTTCCCATGCCAGGAATCAAGGTCCGAGGATGCTCATGGGATATCCATGGATTCGGATCAACAACCATGGGATTTAAGAAATTTAAGTGGGCAGACTTTGGTGGTAGATATAGAACTCTGATATAAATTCATATAAACCTACCTGGCTGAAAAGCATACATGTTTTGCAGGGTTTTTGAGGTCAGCCATGGGTAGCACATGATCCTAGACAGAAAACGTCCATAAACGTCCTACCTCTCAAAGAGCTCTCAACAAATGCATTCGCCTTCAGCAAGATGCACTCCCAGTCGGCAATAGAGAGAGGGAATATTAACAACTTTTTTTTGGTGAGATCCCAACTCCAGTTTGATTCTCGAGATTTAAAACATCTTTTTCTCCAGTTAGCTGCCGGGCTGCCCAGGGGTGTGGGTCCTGGCACCTACAGCCCGCGCTTTCCAAAGAGTCGAAGCTGTAGCATGGGCGTCGGCAGTCGGCCTGAAGCCATGGATGCAGGCGATATGCCAGGTGGCTGGGCTCCATCTGATGGATTTCATGATGGTGATGGGAAAACCAGAAAATCAGTGGGTCCTTTTCAAGTCAATTGCTGTCTGGGAATTTAACATAGCTATTGTGATTATTGCATGTTATTGTCAGTCACTATTTTTTTCCTGGCTAAGTCATCGAACTAGCGGACAATGTTCATGAATTTTCCCATAGCTTATACCGGAGGGTGCGATCCAAATTCCAAGGTTGAAAAAAACATCGTGGCCGGGGTGGCCGCCATTTTTTCCAAGAAAAATCATCATTAATCCCCCCCAAATCAAAAGGTTCACATCGACCAGATACATGGATGGTATGGCTTATGTAGGTGAGAGTGGGTAGATTGTTGGTTGATGGTATGGCAATTCTTTTTGCGGAAACCGCTATTATTGAAGGTGACTTGTTCATCTTTGATTTAAACAAAACATCAGATCTTTTTGGCAAGCCCCATGTTTGTTGCTTAAACATGCTTAAACCGCTTAAACCACATAAAACTAGCAATATATATTTATATATATAAATCACAATAATCATGTGTCACGAAATTACGTCCCACTATATTCCAATAGTGTGGCTCAAATTAATGACTTTGATCATATCAGTTTCCTTCACATGGCCAACAGATGCGTCAGCCGTGATCAACACATGAGGTCCCGGGCAGTATGCAGTGCAACGCATGGCCAGTGATTCCATGCCAAATGCGACTCGGAAGCACCTTGCGGAGCTGCCCCTCCTCAGCAAATCATATTAAATCGTATTAAATCATGATATCATATCATATGCATCATTCAGCATCTTAAAATTCAGTAGAATTTGTGTAGTTTGAACTATTTCGTTATTTCTATTGTTTGCTTCAGCCCAGAAATTGACTAAATTTACCCCACAAGTCTACAGTCATCTGTTAATCTATGAGCCCTTTCCGGCTGCGGACTGCGGACGACTCTTCAGGTGACCAGAAGCGCCTTTCGTTCGACCACGTCGCGCTGCGACCCCGACAATTTCAGAGAACCGACCTTCGTTCCAGGCAATGGTCGTCCAATGGGCCCAATGGGCCCAGTGGGCCCTGAATGTCCCGGGAAAACATGTTGACCCCTGGGATCCCCTGGGACCTTCGTAAAGTGGGAGGTGCATGTAACACAATAGAGCATGTCAGAGTCCCAGATTGCACGTGCCTTGAAGCAATCACATACTTGCTCCAAGATGCTCCAAGTATCTCCAAGGACAAGTACATGATCCGCCTCACAACTGCCCTGGCCCTGGCACCGTGTCAGGTTCGGGCTGGTACATGCCTTCAACGATCTTGGACAATCCGGGCCCCGGTCCTGACATCACCAAGCCCATTGAGATTCGCCCCTTCACAGGTCGCAGTGGGTCACCGGGTCACCTGATGCTGAAACCTGGTGACGTATGTTACTTCAGGTCACAGATAGGTCACAGATGTGGTCCGCTCTGGATGCATGGTAAGTAAGTGGCTTAGATTCTCTGTGCTACCACAGCAGGTCGAGGCTCCAGTTCCCAAACAGAGATCCTACCTTCAGGAAACTTATTTACATTGTTAGAATGTCAGAACATGTTCGAATCTGCCCTTTCTTTTTCCAACATCGACTTTCCCTCGGTAGCCTGGTGATATGGCGCTGGCCAGCTCCGATCAGGTGGGATCTACGAACGTAGCAGACCTGGCAAGCTGGAGTGGAAAGCGGAGCGGGCGGTCCAAGCGGTGAAAGACGGGGTGAGACTTCCGACCACGCGACCCGGCGGGGAACCGGTGGAACTGTATGGATGTTAACAATGGCCATGGGACCAAATGGGCCCCGAATTCAAAACTTCAGGAAGAAAAGAGGAAAACAACTCAAGTACAAGATGGACAAACTAAAAAAAAAACATGGCTGTATTTTTTGAGATCATTTGAATTCTTTTGAGTATTTGGATGTATTTCTGGTCGGGGATTTTCTGGTTTCGCTCCAAGGACGGCCCCGGCCATCAAGCCCGTTCGGGCCCGTGGCGAGTGGAACTTTACGGGTGAGTCTGGAGACACCCCAGACCCGGGGGAGTACTGTGGGGCCCCCTGGAGAGCGGGGCAGTGGGCACCAGAAACATCCAGAAACAATGGATGAGACCTGGAGAAAAGTTGGGATATACTATGATATACTTATATAATTAATTAATTATCTTAAATTCTTGATTCGTTTTGGGTATATTCAGGTGATCTTGGGTATAGATTTGAAAGAATTGTTGGTAGTGTTAGGCGCGTTTCTTAAAATTGGGGATGCATCCATGGTTGGTTTACTAGGTCTCTTCCGTCATCTACTACTCATGCAACTTGGTGTCTCAACCCGCAGCTGCTAGTACATGGCAAATCTTGATTTGGTCTTTGGCAGCTTCACAGCTACACTTTTACAAGATTTTCAGCCATAGATGGAGAGTATCGTTCTTGTTGGGGCCCTGTCAGCTCCCAAAAAGCTCTGCCCAAGGCCCGGACTATTTCACCATCGGCAAGAATAAGCCCGTGACCAACTTTGATGCCGCCTGCGAACGGCAAAGCCCAGGCACCCCATGTTTTGCTCCAAGTTTGAGCGGACTTCGTTGAGGTTTGTTGTCAAAATTTTCCAGGTAACATGAGGCATACTGGGCAAAATTGGTTTACCCTGCATTATAATGCATTATACCGAATTACACCTGAAAGTTAGGTGAGTGCTAATTTTGCAACGCCGATTGGCGCCAGATACTGAGGGAAATGGGCCAAACTGAGTCCACGAAATCATTTTAGTCGGGTGCGCCCACGACATTTTGCAACGGATCTCAAAACAGATCCTGTTCCATTGATTATTTTCGCATTTTGGAGATCGTAAACGTAAAGAAAAGCGGGTTCCAGGTCTCAGTCTTTTCTGTTCAAACATGTTCAAACCCACCGAACATCGGGCCTTAATCACTTGGGATGTGTATCCCAGCTAACAACCGATCAACACCTTCCCTGCTCAGAAAGTTGTGACCCCCAGGTTATAGCCATGATTCCTGATAAACCAGTTATGATTCCTGGTGTGAAAGTCGAAATTACTGATGCATTTTAAATCTTAACATGATTGAATCCTTAAACTGATGCTTCCAGTATTCTTTTTACATACATGTTTAAACATGTTCGCTGCAACCCTGACGTTGCTCCGCGTCTGACTTCAGGTGGCTATGAAGATAAAGTTGATGTTATTACTCCAATCAACATGTTGTTCATAACGGGTGGTGAATTTTGATCCCTTATGAAGATAAAGATGATGTTATTACCCCAATCAACATATTGCTCATAGGGGGTGGCAAATTTTGATCCGTTATGAAGATAAAGTTGATATTATTACCCCAATCAGCATATTGCTCAAAGGGGGTGGCGAATTTTGATCCCTCATGAAGATAAAGTTGATGTTATTACCCCGGTCAACATATTGTTCATAGGATCTGGCAAATTTTGATCCCTCATGGAGATATATTATATTTGATACTATTCCCCAACCAACATATTGTTCATAGGGGGTGGCGAATTTTGATCCGTTATGAAGATAAAGTTGATATTATTACCCCAATCAGCATATTGCTCAAAGGGGGTGGCGAATTTTGATCCCTCATGAAGATAAAGTTGATGTTATTACCCCGGTCAACATATTGTTCATAGGATCTGGCAAATTTTGATCCCTCATGGAGATATATTATATTTGATACTATTACCCCAACCAACATATTGTTCATAGGGGGTGGCGAATTTTGATCCCTCATGGAGATATATTTGATGCTATTACCCCGATCAACATATTGCTCATAGGGGGTGGCGAATTTTGATCCCTCATGAAGATAAATTTGATGTTACTACCCCGGCCAACATATTGTTCATAGGGGTTGGCGAATTTTGTCCCCTCATGGAGATATAGCTGGTGTTATTACCCCAATCAACATATTGTTCAGAGGGGGTGGCAAATTTTGACCCGTCATGAAGATAAAGATGACGATTATAATTATGATGATGGTGATGATGATGATGATGATCATGACGATTGTAAGTGTGGAGCAACGTCCGGGTTGGGGCGAACATGTTTAAACCCGTAATGAATTGATTCGCCTATTCAGATTTTCAATAAAAATCACCGCCAAATCCTCCCACAGCATCCCACATCCCCAAATCCCCCAATCCTGGCAGGTCACAAGGGCATGGCTAAGAATCCGGGGCCCGGAGCCTATGACCACGAGCCCCCTGAGCTGCCAATCTGTCAGCGCCTGCCGGGAGGTGTGGAACATGGTGTCTTAAATGGGATTGTTATGGTGAGTTCATAGGATTTTAACGGATTTTAGTGT